AGACGCGGAAGATGTCCCGGGCGGTCCGAGCGACCTTTTTGAGGACTTTGGTGTTTTCAAAGTCCTCCTTGGGAGCGGAGTAGCCGTTGATGATGGAGATGGGGTAATACTGTCCGCGAACCTGATGCAGGTAAAGCAGGAGGTATCCCCAGCCACGAAATCCTCCCCCGGACAGATAGAGAGGGAAGCCTCCCTCGGTCCGAGCCTTTTCCACCAGCGTATCAGGAATCTCGAGCTGCTCAAAGGCCTTGCGGAAATTGCTCTCCATCTCGCGGCGGAATGCCTCCTCCGCCCGATGCGCCTCGTCCGGATTCTTTCCCTTCCGCAGCTGATTGAGCTTGTGTGTCAAGGCGGCTGCTCCGTAGGGAAAACTGAACGAGCCCTTGGGGCTGATGCGGACGTTGCCTGCATGCGAGACGATCCACGTCATCTGCATGCTCCCTCCCCCCAGATCCATGGCCAGTCCTTCGATGTCGGAGAAGCTGCTGGCAATCCCCCACGCACCAATTGTTCCTTCAAGATCTTTGGGCAGAGTCTCAACGGAGACGTTGGTGGCACGTCGGATGGCATCGACAAACTCGTCTGCATTGAGCGCGGTGCGGGTGGCTTCGGTCGCAATGATGCGGATGTTCTCGGAGGGGACACCGATCTGGGCACACGTAATCTGGAAGCGAACGATCGCACCGACTACCGATTTGATAACATGCTTAGGGATGGGGATTTGACAGCCGGTGTCATCGTCAAACTGGGCGTCGTAGACGGAGATGTCGACCCGTCGCATGTAGACGGTCGGCAGGATGCGCGCGGTCGGGGACGAGAGGTCGGAGACGGAGCATCGTATTCCGTTACTGACAGGATTAGCAGGTTGGGACGTTGGGTCAGACAAAATTTGGGATGACAATGATGCTCACCTTCCCAGATCGACTACCGCTTGAAGATGTCGTCGCTTCGCAGAAGGTTGAATCAGCGTGGAGTCGGGAAGGAGGAGGGGCTGGGAGGTTGAGGGCCGGTCGGGAAATCGATCACCACCTCCCATAATAATGGTGATATGGACCCTAGAGATCAGGTAGCTTCACCAGGTGACCACAGCCACTATGCTATCGACAAATAGAGGGAGAAAAGAGTCAAGAGGTCTCAACACGAAGGATTCTTTTCATGTCCTTGTGGTTGCTGATAATGGCCTGCAACATGTCCTGACGTCAGCCATCTTGTGAGTGTCACCTCTGTGAGCTGCAGTAGTTGAAGATTTTTTTTTCGTTGTTGCTACTCCGTAGACTAATAGATATCAGCAATACGGTCCTCGGTTTTGGCCATGTCCGAGTGATTGGGTATGGTTATTGATGAGCGACTCCATTTTGTTGGTGGAGAGATATCTATATATATTGCGGCGGGAGGATGCCGTAGAGGCGTAGAGCCATGACACATCGGACTACCTCTCTACATCCGAGACCGAGAGATGGTTTGGACTGGTCAAGACAGTTGATTCCATTCTACGGAGTGTACTGGTATTATTCAAAGGTAGGGCGCATATAATATAAAGCATATCTAGAAGTTCTCTACATGAAAAGACACCTATCCTACTCTGTAGTCTACTGTGTTAACCAGGCAAAGAGTTATGTAAGAGGGGCCACATTCGTAGACTTGGCCAATGACTTGATGAACATGAAGGAGAGAATCGTCGGCACTGACTAATGAGAACAACAAGGCCAAGAAATGAATGCATCTTGATTCCACCTATGGATTCCTGGGATGAGACAGATCTTACCAAGTGCTCTCTGCTCTGCTCTGTATAACAACAGCACAACCGGTGAGGCACGTGACGAGGCAGAGTCCCAACCCACGCCACCGACGGCATCCCTCGTCTTGGCTCTCTCTGTTTGAGCCTGAATGATGATCTTCAAAGGATTAATAAGTAGGCACTCTCCCGGTCTCTCTGTTTTCACCGACCGGACCCGGCCCGGGAGACAGCCGGCCAAGTGGAGCCGTAGCCTCTTCTTCAGCCTGCACAGTACATACGGAATCTCGGAATACGACTATGTATGAGCATCTACTCGGATCAACAGGCAGAAGGCGATATCAGGACACGTACTGCAGACTCATCGGGAGGATATTGCAATGGCCGATGATACGACGCCGGACGGTTTCGGTCGGCAGATTCGAACGCCGTCTGTGATATACATGTAGTTCTAGCGATAGTCAAGTCTTCGCGGTGACAAAGATACTGAGGTATTATGTCGGATCATCGTCAAATATGCCATTCAGTATTCTCCGTGGATATCCCCGTGGATATCCCCATAGATGTTTCTTTACTATGCGGGGTTTTCATGACTCCATGGAGTACTCCAGATATCATGCCAGCTTTCACTCTTTGTACAACTTCTAACCGGTTCATAGTGTCTTGCCCCAGGAATCTGGAGTAGTACTTGTTACGCGATCAAAATCCCTCAATGGTCTTCGTGGATGCGGAGTGCCCGGAGAACATGTTCCAGAAATACCAGATCATCAGATGGCAGAGGCAAAGATGATGTCGAAAACAGTCGTTGTACCCATTGCTGGCCAATCCGAGGCGGGAATATCATCCATGGATGGTGATGATGCTCCACCGCGCAGTGGAGCACAGGGGAGGATCTGCTCGACAATTTCACTCGCGCACAAAAATTTCAAGTGTGTGTGGAATTCGTGCAGATGGCTAGCATCGGACTCTAATACGTAATGTCCATGACTGCCAGATATCACCCTCAACCAGAGATAACTTCTCCGTAGACGTATGGAGACGACCCGAGATCCATCAACCCTACCGAAGACTGCCAAGCGCGAAAAAAAGGGCCCGAAAAAAAAAAAGAGGAACGCTCGGTTAGCCTGGATTTCTTCTAGAAGATCAGGCTCATCCCCGTTTATCTTCTCCAGGTTCTCCCTCATTCTGGACTTTCGTTTTCCCTTGACTTTCCTGTTGTCGTCTACAGAGTATCGCCATGGCCGTCTCAAGGGATCTCGAGGCTCCCGCCGTCGTTAACGACCCAACCGCTTATGATGCTACGGTCGAAAAGAAGGAATATGCTGATGGGACGCCGGCAAATGATCCGTTTGGAAATGAAGAGTGCGGAGAGGTCAAATATCGTGTCATGTCGTGGTGGTAAGCTTCGTTCACTCGCCTCATTGTCCATTCCCTCAGCTAACATGGTGCAGGCAATGTGGGACATGTAAGGCTTCTACCATATATTCCTATATCCTACCAAGGACCTAACAAGAGATAGTAATGGTTGCTGAGAATATCTCCCTCGGAATTCTGTCTCTGCCGTCAGCCGTGGCGACGCTGGGAATCGTCCCGTAAGTGTGCCGATCACAACCTCAGCATCTATGTTCCTAACCACGGCCACACAGAGCGGTAATTCTGCTTCTTGGATTGTCCGCAATCTCATGGTATACTGGCTACATCATGGGACAGTTTAAACTCCGGTTTCCCCAGGTACATTCCATGGGGGATGCCGGCGAGCTGCTGATGGGCCGCTTCGGACGCGAGTTATTCGGCATCGGTCAGCTTTTGTTTCTCATCTTCCTAATGGCCAGTCACATCCTCACCTTCACCGTGGTCTTCAACACCATTACCAACCACGGAACTTGTACCATTGTCTTTGGGGTGGTTGGATTGGTGGTCAGTTTCATCGGAGCCTTGCCGCGCACGATGGGTAAAGTGTATTGGATGTCTATGGCGTGTACGTATCCTTCTCGTCTATTGATGGCAATCCCACTGACAATGTACAGCCTGCATCAGTATTGTGACGGCTACCGTGGTGACCATGATTGCGATCGGAGTGCAAGCCCCAGAACACGTCCACGTGGATGCGACCACCGAGGTTTCTTTCCAGGATGCCTTCCTTGCCGTGACCAACATCATCTTCGCTTACAGTACGCCTTGATTTCTCTTCATTTTTTTTTCCGGTAGCTAATTCCGCTAGTTGCTCACGTCGCCTTCTTCGGGTTCATCTCGGAAATGCATGACCCCAGGGACTTCCCCAAGTCCCTGACTATGCTGCAGGTGGTAGACACCAGCTTGTACATCGTGACTGCAATGGTCATCTACCGCTATGCTGGCCCCGACGTAGCGTCGCCCGCTCTGTCATCCGCTGGACCTGTGATGAAAAAGGTCGCCTACGGTCTGGCGATTCCCACCGTGGTGATTGCCGGTGTCGTTTTTGGCCATGTGGCCTGCAAGTATATCTATGTGCGCATCTTCCGAGGCTCCGCCCATATGCACCAGAACAGTTTCTTGGCTATTGGGTCATGGGTGGCCATCGCGTTGAGCGTCTGGGTTGTCGCCTGGGTGATTGCAGAGTCGATTCCGGTGTTCAATGAGCTGCTGAGTCTGATTGTATGGTCCATTCTCCTCTAACTTTGGCTATTGCTAACGACTCTACAGAGCTCCCTGTTTGGAAGTTGGTTCAGCTGTAAGTCACCTACCAACATTCTGCTGGGTACTGGGTTTGAGTAATACTAACTTGGGTAGACGGCTTGCCCGCCATCTTCTGGCTCGTGATGAACAAGGGCCGGTGGTTCTCAACTCGCTCCAAGATCTGTTTGACTATCGTCAATTTCCTCATCCTGGCGTTCGCTTGTGCTCTGGTATGTTCGCTTATTCTTGTCTTTCCAAGCAGTAGCTAACAAAGACTAGTGTGGCATGGGTCTCTACGTCTCGGGTAAATCGATTCATGACAGTTCATCCAAGGCAAGCTGGACTTGCAAGAACAACGCCACCTAGACGGTTGATTCGAAGTGATGGGATAGATGGCGCAGGGATATGAATAGAACGTGATTAGATATTGCAGGCCATGAAGAATCTGTATATAGATGTCCTAGGATTTGAGCATAGAGACGACTACTCGAACATGCATACTCCAACTGTTCTGCCTAGCTCAGCCCATCATGTATTCTTGACGATGTTCATATCCGACATGCATATTCAGAAGCAAAGCTCATGAGCATGTACAACAACGGGTGGGTGATCAGCAAGTTCCCCCATGAATCCTCACCGACCCAAAGGATTCCCAACCAACAGGAAGCTTAACGCAAGTCTGGTCCGAGGCCTTGGAAATGCGAACGCCTTCGCAATCTCTGCCCTTGTAGAAGCTGGCGGTGGCCTTTTGGAAGTTGAGTTTGGCCCCTTTGATCTTGTAGTTGCGGCTCATGTTGGTACAGCCGCAGGAGGTGATCTTGCCGACGGTTTCGCCCCCGCAGGACGCGCTGGTGTAGGGATAGACGATGGTAGCGCTGGCTGAGGCCAGGAGAGTGGCAATGGCGAGGAATTTCATTGTGACGGTCGTTCGTGGACAGGTGTGGAATGCTTTAGATCTTGGGAGGATGGGAGATGAGTTGCTGGATGGATACTCCTGAGAGGATATGCTCTCTTTATATATCTTGATCTTAGACGACATCAGGCTACTCTGCGAGTCAAACAGGAAGGAGGTCACCTCGCATTTGAGATATTCCAAGGATGTATATTGATCTGTCTCGTATTTCTGCATGCCAAGTGAAGCGATCTGCTGAACACGAAAGCTCATGCGGAGATGCGCCAAACATCACCACCGCGATGTAACGCTGTCAGCAATAAGCGAGGAGCTGTTTCCCAGTATTCCATACTGATTGGTGATCTCTGGACTGAACTATGCTCGCCAACCTACATCATTGCACAGGCACGAGATCGTATTCGGAGTATTGCCCTTGTTAAGGAAACTCAATGCAAGGCGGTCGTTCCTTGAGATAATTGATATTGCTCCTCCCCTTCAGTTCATCGGAAGGCTGTACTCTGTAGTGCTGCATAAAGGTGTAAGATTTATGCTCGTCGCGGAATGAACACAGGATTCGCCACGGATAGTCTGTCCGACGATGAGGCTCCCTGGCGGTGTGTCTTCTGTGTCCTCGGCATGGGCGCCCTTCCTTTTTTATCTGGTCGATATGGGCGATGGACCGACAATAAAGCATCATTTTTGACGGCCAAGGGAGTCCGTTGTATCGGCAGAGAATCTACCCACAGCTGCCAAGTTAAGCGGCTGAACCAGCCAACATTTTCCTACCGGATGAAAATGGGTGTCTACGGGTCAGTTGTCTTGAAGATGCATGAAAGTCTTCAAATATTCAAGGTATTGCGATCAATATTTTACACAGCCACGGCATGTACACCTGCTGGTGAGGTCCAGCCAGCTAACAGACACACAGGATAACGAACGACAGGCGGAGTAACGACAGAAGAAATAAAGAATGTCGACAATGCTGAGAATTCACCAATTGTTATTAACAAGGAGACCCGGTAGTCAGGATGCGCTTCGCCTCCTGGGCATAAGTGCACCCGTTGTTGACGTTGGCGTCCGAAAACCCGGCGGACCACATCATGACGCCTCCGAAGGCCGGGTTGTTCTTGTACTCGGCCACGAGGGAAGCCAGAGCGCTGGGCTGGAGATAGTACTGCGCACCACTAGACGTTCCCGTCGCACCCAGCGGCGAAGCAGGGACGCCGATAAAGATCTTCGCGTTGGCGGAGGGGGTGTTGGCCAGGTTGGAGACCCATTGGTCGTAGTTGATGGGACCGTTGACGGAGCAGCCGGGGTTATTGTAGAACTGCACCCAGAGATAGTCGAACTGCGCCTTGGTGACAATGACCTGCATATTGGGCTCCGGAATGGGGCACTGCGGCGCACCGGTGATGTAGTACTGGTTGGAAGGATCCGAAGCAAAGTTCGAGCGCAGCTTGTTGATCAGGTACTGATAGTAGTTGTTTCCAGCGTAGCTTTCAATGTCAAAGTCCCAGCCGTTGACAAAGGTACTTCCAAAGGGTCGAGGTACGTTTCCATTGCCCTGGGTATTGCCGTAAGCCTCCCAAAGGTTTTGGCCGATCGTCTCGGCCTCAGCCTGAGAGGAGAGAGAATACGCGCCGACGGCACCTCCGAGCGACAGAATGACCTGGACTCCCCTGGATTGGCAGGTCTTGATGGCAGAGGCCAGAGCGTCGCAGTTCTGGGGCTGTCCAGAGGGAGAAATATAGCAGGACTGGCCGATGGTGCCGGAGGCGATGGTGTTGCCATTTCCGTACTGATACAGGAAGGACAGGACTATGATATCGATGCCGGAGGTCGACGAGCAGTAGGACGCCAGATCATTGTTCTCGACAGTGCCGCCGCCGTTCTGGCCCCAGTACACAACGTTCTGGGCACCGGACGCGCGAGAGGACAGCTGATGGGGCATGGCAGATGCGGTAACAGCCATCAAGCTGAGGGCACTGAGCACTTTGGTAAAATACATGGTGCAAGTGGAATGGGTGAGGACCCGGGACACAAGGAGTGACAGAAAGTGAATAAAATTTCAAAGAATGACAAGAAAAGAAAGGACAGATTCGTCAAGAATCTTGAGGGCGAAAGGACTGTGTGTGTTGCAATGATCATGACCAACAGCTGCGAAGGAGGCCTATTTTATATCCCATTTCCAACCATGCCTTCTCCTGTGACTGTCCAACAACACTTTCACGGGACACTCATCCGAGCAGCATCCTTGATGCGCCATCTTCGTCGTCTACATGCGATGGTAACTTCATGAAGTAGGATAATGTCCGTACAGCGTTGCAACTGGCATTGAAACTGATAGAGGGAGGCATGGCTGAAACGCTCTAAACACGCACAAGTCCCCGTGAAAGAACCACCCAAGGGAATTCCATAGGAATGCCGTAGAAAGGGCCGAGCCTGAGTCGACAGAGAGGGCGATCGGCGAAGACGATGTAACTGTGATGGCTGTTGATTGATTAAGCTCATGCAACGTGCATTGGGCGTGACTTGGCCTAGTGACTTTGACTAGTATACCAAACATTATATACCGAGCTAGATCTTGCTCCGACTGGCTCGGAGACGGGGATGGATGTGGTAAGGGTCGTCTATTGCGACGCTGTAATCTCCGCGCTGACAAGCCCGTCCGGGATGGAAGACTCTGATACGCCGCTGTCGCTGCAGATAATATCCGGCTTGACACTAAGGAAGAGACGATACATAAAAGCCGACTAGCAAGTACCGGTGCTTCAGAATCAGCGAGGATATTGGCCTGCATTAATCAAAAGCCGGGGAGAGTTACATTGTCGTCGAGGCTTGACACAAAGGCTGAAGTTTAACCATGCATGTTCCTGAGCCATGCACAATCATATTCCTAATCCTTGCATTCAGTAGCCACTAGGACATAAGTCAAGAACATGGTATACTTAGTAAAAGGGGCTTCCGCAGTATCACCATTGTGGCATATATACGTTGGCGACTTAATGTGCTTGCGACTGGCGAACTATGTGTCTTCAATTCCAACAACTGGGGCAGTTCTTGTTGTATATAACCCCGAGACCACTCCGAATCGATTCCTGAGAATAGTCCTATCAATCCATGAAAACAAGGGCGAGATTGGCCGTCAAATCGCCGTGCTATTGCCGGAACACGGAGGATCCGGCAACTTCCGAACTTCGGCTGTCATTCGTGTTCAATTTGGAGACATACTGTGTATATTTGAGATGGACTACCTAGACCGTAACAGGAACAAGTGTCTTGGAAACATATTGCAAAACGACAGAAGAAGGGAAAGCGTCTCTCGGCTGGGCTCTTCTTCTTCATTCTTTGTCGACTGTCGGCGCATCTCGTAGAACCTCAAATACCCCGATTAGGCAATTAGTGGACCGAGACTATCCGGGAGCAGCCAATCGACCGGCGCGATGGCATCTAGACAAAAGCCACACTCTCACCGACTCGCGTCTTCAGGGGGACGCAGTCAACGATGGTGCCTTTCCAAGAAGATAAATAATTCGGCTTCAGTCTTCGTGGTGCTCGTTTTACCCACCTGAACAGTTGGATCTCCAGCATCATGAGGGTCCTTTAGAGTACAGAATTAGTTCCATTTCGAGGAACAACCACAACGAAGCCGATTGGAGTACGTACCTCTGATCCACGCAATAAGCCTGTCAATTGCTGCAATGCTGTCAAAACACGAGTATGACATTCGGGAGCTTCCACCAGATGATCGCATTCGGTTCAGTGTGAAGTACAGGAACGCTCTCTATGTTGTAAGCAAGGCGGCCATCTGGGCCTTTCACCTCTACTTTCTCGTGCGTTTGCTCCTGGTCATCACAGCATCGGAGCAGACTTGGCAGATATGGCTGATGCTTCTTGTCGAGTACATTTTCGCCCGTAAGTCATCGACAAATCAGACGCCGTGTGCGATATCTGGATTGCAACTGACTTCAGGCCAGGTATGCCTTGGAATGATCAGCTCCTCACGGTAGCAGCAGGCAGGTCATTGCAAAGCCGTCCCCGAGACCGACTGCGACTCCATGGCAGCGACCATCTGCCTCGGGTCGACGTCCTGGTTCCCTGCTGCGGAGAGCCGACAGATGTAGTTCTGGACACGGTCCGCGCAGCCTGCACTATGGACTATCCCATCACTCATTTCCGAGTGCTTCTGCTGGACGATGGGGCATCCCTTGCGCTGCGTGATGCCGTTGCAGGGCTACGCTCCCAATGGCCGCACCTGTCTTACCACACGCGCGGACAGCACTCCGGCCGTGTCTTCGCCAAAGCCGGAAATCTCAACTACGCGCTCTTCTCCTTGCAGAACGAGGTTCAGCCCGAGTTTTGTGCCGTTCTGGATGCTGACTGCATGCCCACCCCCGACTTTCTGCGAGCCACGCTGCCTCATCTGCTGAAGGATCCCCGGGCTGCTCTGCTCACGACGAGGCAATACTACTATAATCTGCCCGATGGTGACCCTCTGCAACAGTCTCGTGTGCACTTCTACACCTGCCACAATTCCGAGCTCGACCGCATGGGAGCTGCCATCGATGCAGGATCTGGGGCCGTCTTTCGGCGGAAGGCGATCGTCGATGTGGGCGGCTATCCCACCTTTTCCTTCTCGGAAGATTGGCAGCTCTCGCTGATGTTGCAGGGCCTGGGGTATCGCACGATGCAGGTGCTGGAGCCTTTGCAGTTGGGATTGGTACCGTCGTCGCTGGATGGGCATATTGCCCAGAGGAACCGATGGCAGATTGGTCACTCCCAACAGCCATCTGTGTTGTTCTCCTCGAACCAGGGCATTCCCCGGCCTCTGCAATGGAGCATTGCTTTCAATGGCGTGTCCATCGTCTTGGGGCTGGTTGGGTACATGGTAGGGTTCGCGGCAGTTCCCGTTCTCTGCGCTTCCGGGCGTCTGATTCCCGCTGCATCACCCTTGTTGGTTCGGATTCAGGTAATTTTGGCTGTTTTGCACATCGCCTTGACGTGGCTACATGGATTGATCCAATCGGCTCACACGGGCTTTCGCATTGGGCCATTCGCCCACCTGGAGAACAGCTGGCTTGCAAGTAGTAAGTATTTGCCTCGGACAGCCTGACTTTTGTAAACAGCGCTAATAACCATTAGCCCATATCTTTGCAATCATTCGATTCCACTGCTTCTCGAGCAAACCAAAGGGCTCCTTTGTCACAGGGAGTAGTGCGAACTCGTGGAACCGCCTCACAGAACTGCCGATCTACAAGAAGCTCCGCAAGGATTTGCTGGATAACGGGCTTGTATACAGCCTCCTCTTGTATCTTGCGACTCTAGGCTCATTTCTGCTGGCATCCTATGAAGTCGTCAGCAGCAATTATGCCACTGGCGCTACGACTACTCCCAACCGATTAATCACGGAATTGCTCACCACGGTGGCGTGGCCCCCTATGCTGCATATTGGCTATCTCACTGTCAGCAACCTGTGGATCCCAGTCGGATATCTGCTGCGCCGGCCGGAGTATCCCGAACGGAGATCTATGATGGCCGTGAACGACCGGGGTATCTTCTTCCCCCAGGCGGATGTCCAGATGAAACTCCTTCATCAGAGTCGTCCTCCACTGGGGTCCTACAAGCATTATATCCTGGTGCCCTTTGTGTTGATTGCCATTCTTGTCGCGGCAACCGTGTTGTGAGTCTTTGATGTAGCACATGAAAACAGAGACAGACGGCGCGAATGAACAGACCAAGCAGGCTCTGTTCCCAGTTATGCAATTGTCAGGCCAGGTAAAAGCCAACTATTGCGTCTACGGCCTCTACGGTCTTCTTACGTATTGAACCCTGATGAGTGATGCTTCGTATGATAGATTACGAGCAAATCCCAAGATATGCATTGGATCTATTATCGTGGAGTATAAAGAATAGGAATACAATCTCTAATTACAATTGAAGAGTCATGAATACTTGGAATGGTCAGACCCTATCAGACAGTAAGACTTCAGTTTCGTCACTCTTCCGACTCCAGACCCTCAGAGCGTCAATATAAGCTTTGACAGTATTCCAACCAATAGAGTAGAAAAGAAGGCTCCACAGAGCAATATTGTACCCCAGGATCTGCATGGAACTAATGGGGGTGTGCCAGAGAATAACCGAGATAGCAATGAGTAGAATATTCTTGGGAATGCTGATCAGCGTCATCGCTAAGCCGGACGTTTTTCCGATCTTTATGGTCAGCAAGGGCATCATCTGTTCGTGCATCAAATAAAACTCACCAGGAGAAAGATTGAGACATTGAGCATGAATCCCATCACGGCACTCAGTGTCAGGACCATCGACCCAGCCTGCGCGATCGAACTCCACTCGAACGAAGAGTATTCGGTCTGCCAGGCCACCAGCGATGTCATGACAGCACACGCCGGCGCAAAGTAGTACAGACTGACCAGCGGGTCCATCTTCTGGCCACTGTCCGACAAAAGAATCTGGACCATGACGAGTCGATTTGCGTCCAAGACTAGACTGGCGAACTGGAAACCGAAGCCTAACCAGGAAAACCTGATCTCGCCCGACACGGCCATTGCGACGCTCAGGGTTATGATGAGAATGTTGATGAATGCCCCGATTGAGGGTTTTGCGACCTTCCATGACCAGCTCGTGATGAGTGTGACAACGGGACCGGCCGCCTAGAATCATTAGCATGTCGCTGTCGAGGCAGGAGAAGATAAAGTACCTTGAGCATTTGGATAAAGGAGATATTCAGATAGAGATAGACCACATTGCTGCAGACTAGAGTCCCGCAATATAACAGGCCAATAGGGAGCATTGTCCGACAATACATCCGAGTATCCATGGGTATATTCCTCCGGCCATCAAGCAATCTCGTCGTCCGTGCAAGGACTTGGGTGACGATGGTCGCAAAAACCAAATGCCAGCATGTTAGGATGATAGCTACGGAATCAGCAATGAGCAGAGACACGAGGGATTGCTATAGACTCACGATAATCTGACAGAAGTTAGCTAAGCAGAGCATGGTGGTGGATGCAGGAAGAGTCAACGTACGGAAGGCTGTGGAATTGATGATCCATTTATTCAGCAGAATGGTGGCATTGGACCAGAATATCCATGATAGGACATCAACGACCAGATGCCATTTCGACTTATGGTCGCCATAAAAATCATGAACTGCCATGGAAGCGATAGCGCTCCATGGATATCATACAGGATGTTTGTCGACTACTGTGCGCACACAATAGAGGTGATATCCCTTTGGACCAGTTCCATGGACACTTATATACTGCTCTACCGACCTGTCTTGGACCGACTACTACGTTGTAAGCCGTGATCCACATCCGGTAACAGAAGACAATAGCATAGAGAGCAGAGTGGAGTGATGGGCCTCGTTGGTGAGTGCCAAATGCGGAAGTCCCCAGAGATTGAGTGCAACCCTACAAAGTGGATGACAGCAATGTATGAAACGGGGGATTGTCGTATAATTGACGATAAACCCAGGCAGAAGGGTCTTGATGGTTGGCCTCAAATCGCGTTATCAACTTATTACTTGCCAATGTGAACTTAAAGAGGATACGGAATAGGGTCAGAAATATGTACATCGCTGAGACTGCAGCAGATGACAACATGACTAGCAAATGTAATGAAAGCGCAAGACTAGACTACCAAGAATGAGTACAGTAGGTAATGAAATAACTCGGCCAGGCATCCACATCCATGAGCCGTTTACACTCGTCCGCATCGAACAAGGGGTTATCGTGAGCTGCCAGACAGACCGAGTCTCTGTCGTCCGCCCAGCTGTAGGGATAAATCTGCTGGCGCGGAAGCAGGATTAGCGCGTCCCTTAGCTTTTCATTGTGCACATATTCCTCCCCGCAGAAAATCGACCAAGAGGGCTGCCGTTGTTGGGCCCGATCGCAGACATGTTGCCTCAATGACTCATTCTTGAAGTTCTCGTAATAATGCTTGATCATGAGACTGAGCACGCCTGGCCCAGTCAGTCCTTCTACAGACCCGTCGCCGGTTCCCTCGGGATGCTCCATCAGGAAGATGATGTTCATGAGCCAAAACGGGTGGCCCGGTGGAGACGCCATCCACCCGTTAGGCACCGCTGCTGAGGCCATGAGGTCGTCGCTATGAGACATTCGTCCCATGAATGCTCGCTGAACTAAGGGAGATCCAGAGGGAGGCGAAGAGGACAGAGTCTTGTGATGCGACGCCACTGAAGTTCCATGGCCGGTGAAGAGCGGCTCAACAGGGATGAGAGCTTCAGTATCTACGTCGGCATACATTCTGTAGCATAAGAACACCGTCAGCGTTGATAACACTGCAAGAATGGACAAAGAACGTACCCGCCAAAGAGATACATGTAAAAGTTGCGGACAAGGTCGGCTCGCAGGATCTCTTTCGGTAGTCCTGAGTAAATATCCCAAAACCACGGAAAATAGGTTTGAACAAGCAGGTTGTTCGTCTCATCGTCCCACAGAACCCATTCCCAGTCCGCATTCTGTTCTCGCATGGTCTGTACCCATGATTGTGCCCGCTCGGACATGTTGCTCCCTGCCGGGAACCAAGTTTGATGGATGATCTTGGGAATCGTGAAGGTGTCCTGCGAGATTGGGCGTGAAAGAAGGCTTCTAGCTGACACCTCGCGGGCCATGGATGGCTTTGAGAAGTGCGATGTCAGCCTGCGGGAGGATTCAATGGGAACCACTGTCGTATGGAAGTGGAATAGAAGGGGAATCAGGATCGCGGCTCCAAAGGCGCACTGATAGCGCCGGCGCGAGCATTGTGCCCTCAGCCAACGAAGTAACGATGGAGAGTCCGAGTGCATGATGAAGGCTTGTTCCTGTGCCGGTCGAGAAGAGTCGATGATGGATAATGGGATTCTAAGGGCTTTTGGAGGATATTACATATCTTGACTTATCCGTTGGCGGTGATTTTGATAGGGTTACATACAATACCTGTGAAGAGTACGGTTCAGGCGGTCCCTTGGAATAATTCCAGGAAAACCATGGCTGCAAGACTGTCTGGAGGCATATACCACCTGCTAAAGCCGGACAATGTTTCTAGAAGTGGCTCGACGACGGCCTCATCTCCCCGAATGCAACAAGAGAGTGATCTTGCCTCAGTTCTCGTGTAATGATAACCAAGTGCCTTGATGACAGTGTCTGAACTCTAAAGCTCATGGCCTCATTCCACACTGACATTCCTATGAATTATCTTATTAGCCAAATGGACATGCCAACATCCCCAATGCGGATCACTTGGGGCAGACACCAACCGGATTGTTCTGCATGCGGCAACTGGGCCGGGCATTGGAATGTGGACTTTTCACATCAACAAAGCCAGTAAAAAAGTAGAATAGAGGATAGGCAGGTCTAAATATAGTAGTAAGTACATAAGGAAGGACCTATCGTAATTATTTCGTGTCTGTTTCTCGTACGCCGCTGACTTTCGTAAGGATAACCATTCAAGGACGGTATATAGCTTCATTCATGTACCGGTATCACTTTACTTGTCATAAAGATAACCCACGCAAGGAAAGTACAAGGGTAGAAAATAAATATTACACCATGGATGACAATATGCCAGCCTGTGACCCCTGTAGTCACATCTTTGGCCTAGTCCCACATATCAAACATGATGAAGCGCAATTTAATTGACTCTTCCTATTCGTTAGTGATTGCTGATACCGTGCAATTACCCAACGGTCATTCAGGCCAAAAGTAATATATAGAGAGATACGGCCCTCTTTCCTTCGTGTACGCAAAGGACAGCCACGCCTGATAACGCGTCGCCTCTTCCAGATTTTTACCTGGACTGCAACTAGTCAGTAGCTGCTGGAAGGTAAACGCAATGTCGAATGGGAAGCGATCTGTTAACTCACTAGTATGCCTGCAAATTCTCCATAAAAACCTCTGCTTGTTCTGGCATATCATGTCGCTGGAAGAAGGCAGTCATTGTATGAGCTATCTTGGTTTCTGGAATCCCTGTGAGTGGCATATAGAGCTTGGGCGTGGGAAGTAGCTGGCCAGCTTTCATCTCATAATTCAGCATAATGGGCAAGAGCCCTTTCTCCAGCATGGCCGAAGGCTCGAGTGGACCTTGGATGATACCGAGATCTGACCAGAGGCCACGGATGATCTCCAACCCAATTGTGGTGTCCTCATCTGTCAGTCGTCCGCCCAGTGTCCAGTGTTCTTCCGCTCTGGCGAGGGTAACGAGAGGGTCGGCGATGTAGACCTTAAATCGAGTATGCACGGGATCAACAAGGTCGCAACAAAGGAAAGCAGCATCGATTTTACTTTGTTGGAAATGTGCTTCGATTAATTGACACGAACTATCCAGGCGGCCTTCTTTGTCGACTGCCCTTATTGCTCCAAAACATGCACTGGATCCAGTCTGACCCGTGGCTGCACATTTGATACCAGGAAAGAAGTATTCCTTGGCAACAATGCCAGTCTTTCTCAGGTCCAATGCCACAACATACTGGGTCTTCACCTGAAAGTTTGTGAGGTACTTTGTGAGTTGCTCCTCATTCAAATTGCGCTCGTCTTTGGCCGTCAGTGTCAGATGCTCGCTGAGCAAATGATGCAGTTCTATGTTGACGCTTTTGACGAGCAATTGTAGCTGGGAGAAGAACGCGTTTACTGAGGTGCGGTTAAATCGGTCATGGCCGACACTCGCCTGGTAGCGGACGGGCTCAAACGCAATCCGCGCCGTCGATCCTGATCTCTGGAAGTTCTGGCTTAGTTCGACTGTCATGTTACCACCCAGTGTGCATCGATATACGTCTCTTCCTGCTGTCGGGTACGGACCGAGCACTGGGGCGATGAGCTGGGCAAAGAGACACAGGTACTCGTATTGCTGATGGATGCTGTACTTCCCGTCGACGAGGACCTTTGCGAGCATGGGTGCGACATGATGCCAGTGCTGGTATTGATCGATATCCGGGAAGAGAAGTGCCTTGTTGAGGGTATGATAAGCTATATCTTTAGGGATCGGAGCCTGTGACTGTCCAGATTGACCCGCTTGCTCGTCGACGGCAGATGTGTCCGAGGCAGATATGCCAGCAGGAGAAGCGGTCATCTCGCCGTCCATTTGCGATCCGACGTAGGGAAAGTATAATTATGGACACGAATACTCCGGCGTCTCTCAGGAGTTACTTTTCATATATTGTGCAATATGAGGCTCGAGACGATCGACATTAGATGGGGAAATGTGAAGGAAAGAAAGGAAGGGCAGACTCAGCTTTTTGTGAACGAGGGACATACGTCCTCTCATCTTGATTGCATGAGCGGGGAATATGCGTGGCACTTCGTGACGGAGCCATGTCTACCAGTTGTATCTCTTGAAGTTGTGTAACACTCGTAGACGAGTTGACGTAGTGGCAGCCACGATCGCTCTCATGCCAAGTAAGAACTTATTTCGAACAGGATGCAATGGCAGTGTGGATCAATCATGCAGGTGGAGCATGGCAGTCACTGTACCCTATGAAAATGATAGATCATCTTTCGGAATAGTTCACACCAGCTTCGTGTTTGCCAACATGAGTGTGTCGAGGTTCTAGATGCATTCCCAGCGATTGGCAACTTACTTGATTGGAATATGCCGGAACCCAGCAGGGGGCTTGCATTGGTCTGTGTGATAGCTCTGCAGCTAAGTGGCTTATCTCGCTACACAATAACTCCCCATTGGACCATGTCACTGTTTGTTACTGGGATCCGAACCAGTCTGATACTGGAACAGAGTCGATACGGAGTAATTCATTGATCGTCCGAATAATGTAGGTGAGCCACTCGTAACATATGCATAATCAGCTGACGGTCATCAAACTTTGTTCTTCAGCTCGGCCTTTTGAGCCTGGTGTGGCTATAGAACGTCTATACGACACATCAGTGTGATCAATAGATTCCTGAACCATCCATTGTGCTACATGAAGCCGTGATATGGCCCTTATTTCCTCGGTTCCCGGTTCTCCTCTACCGACCTTAAAACAAAGAAAAAGCAATGTATGAGTTCCGTTGAAAGCGGGGACCACAAGATGGAAAAGCTGAACAACGGAGGACTAGAACAACTGAATGGTAGCTGGACAGAGTCCGAGGACTGTGAGTGTCGTATAGAACAAGGTCATGGCGCTGGTAAAGGCCCCGTGATAAACTAGTAACTAAAAGCAAATTATTCCCCTGCAATCCTCCCTTCTACTCCGGTTCATTGTTCCACTGCATACCATTGGGAGCATTGCATTCAATTCAGAGATAGCGCCTCGTATCTGCTCCCCAGACCGACAAGGGCTGCCTACAGTATCTCATCGGTCGACATGCTCGGACGCCTCCGATCGGACGGGACGCTCGCGTATGACGAATTAAAGAGTGTCACTATATATATATCCGTACGCAGTCTTGAGTAATATCTCGTTCCAAGCAGAATGCTGACTGAATCCGGGATTCTGGTTCCAGTCTTTTTTGGAAAGTCCATATGCGAAACGAAATTGTGGCAGAGTTCCCCGTTCTGAAGGCTGGTACTGTCATTGTGCCGATAGATTCTACCCACTATTGGCCTGGGTTGAAGATATCGTGCATCAAACAGTAGCCCAGTCGTCACCATGTCCCCGAGGCAGGCGTCGCGGCTATGATTTCTCGTGCAGCGGATCCTGTTCATCTCGCAAGACAATATCTCTACATCAGACCACAAGGTCAACTGGAAAAAAAGTGAAACGAAGGCGTCCACGTGGACACAGCAGCATATGTCTTGTCTACGTCTGCTAGCCCCGGAAATCGAAAAGGGTTGTGTTCGTCGAGCAGCACTTGCGAGCATGTGGTATCACTCCCAGTTGCGAATTCGACTGGCGGCAATGTAGTGAAATTTCCCGCCGTACTGTTTCGATGTGTCTCCGATCGAAATCCAGGCAAATTGTTGCAGGAGCAACCACCTGCATTCTCTCGGAACTGGGAGGATTCTACTTGAGGACCTAGTTTTGGCGCAAACTTTGTGTCGGCTTATATGTGTGTATGAAAAGCCTTCAAATTATTATGTAGAGCTTAATGAACCTATATATTAGCTCTGGGTCGTAAGCACCTGCCAAGGATACCTAACTAGGGTAACACCAGCTGGACATGTGCTTTGTGGCTTTCAGTTCCCGATGCTTTTTAACAACACATACACTTTCTCTCCATTATTTCACAGATTGACCCCTAACCTCAGACAGTCGTGTCAAGGAACCGAAATCAACGACGGATTGTCTTGGCGGGTGTTGGATGAGCCTTTCCAGGCCTTATCTACAGTTGGCAGCAGATCTTATGGGACAAATGGAAGTGTATGCCATTATCACGTATGGATCTGTGTCGGTGAAGACGAACCAAATGGTCGTCTTGTTAGGCAAACTAGCGGGCATGTCTGAAAATTAGGATCTCCCCAGAGTGGTAGAGTCTAAACTGCACTTGGGTAAACTGAAACAACTAAACAAGGTGTGTTGGTGGCTGCCTGCTAGTGGGAATGAAGTGGCCAGTTGCTCCCTCATCCAGGGGCCTAGACTGCAGGTGATGATAGCATGTAGAGGAGGCATGCAGAGGGAAACACCTGTTCGCAATCGATGATCTCCTCAAAGAATCCACTTCAGGCTGGATGGTGTTTCAGATCCCGATCAAACGTCCTAAGCGAAGTATACCGACTTGGCAATCACATGGATCGTCCCGAGTGCGGACTATGAAAGCCGAGCCTACAGTTCCACATTTGACAATCGACAGATGTTTCAGTCATAAGGCTAGCCATACGTGAACCGCAATTTTGCTGGTCTCCCCACATCCAATACTACCCTACAGTGGCTAATTTTAGAATACCAAGCAGGGGAATCACTACATATTACTCTTTCAAGTATCGGTCCCTCCACCAGGCAAGTCGTAAAGGAACTTTTGGGAAGCCCAATACATGGTGAGAAAGCTAACAAACTCTATGGGCAGACCCTTGTAGATTCCCACCGGGCATCCTGGAAAGGATCCTTCATCGCAGAGTAGACGAGTGAGAAAAAAAGTTTCTGGAGATATACAGTGTGCTGGTGGGATGCTGCTACTGCTCAAGGACTTCTCTGAATGACTTCTATAATATAACGCATGGCATTCACAACAATGTACGTTCTTTATAATCACTAATAGTGGTCGTCCAAGGCTCAGGATACGTTGAACTCTAGGAGACTTGTCATAGATCTCCGGCAAACTGTGGTTCCCCTGCATTTTACCTAATGGACCCTTACCCGAGTCTCAGTCTAAAACAAGTTGAAGAACCTGACTTGTTTGATCTGACAATCTCATTGGACTCCTGTCGTTCGTGAAACCAGGAGTTGTACTCATGATGACCTAGTCTGGTTTTTCCGTCGATCAAACCTTCGCTGCCCTCGCTTAACGAGAGAAAAGTCTACCAAAACCATCTATATGTGGTTCCTGGATAAGCATAAGGAAATCGGAGCTGGCCGCATCACATGGGGGTGTTTCATGTTTTACTAACAACAGCTTTCTCGCACAACGTTGTGGATTTGGTAGACCTTTAATGCCTCATGGGCATGAGAGAAAGGGGATGAACCGGTATGAATGAGAGTATATAAGGGCGTCTGGCATCCTGCTCTTTCAAGTATCAAGTCAAGAAAACCAGCATTCATACTTTGGTCAAGGAGCTTCCGCTACTCTCGTCCATCTCACTTCATCGATATGTTGATCAAAGACATTCTCACTGTGACAGCACTTCTTGTGAGCCAGGTTAGTGCTCATGGCCTGGTCACCCGCATCAAAGGCGCCAATGGCGTCGACATGCCTGGCTTAACTAGTGAGCTCATCCTTCTCCCTGCCCTAGGTCGCAATGGATTGTAATATTAACGACGTTTAGTCATTGACGGAGTACCACGGGACTGCCCCTCTGCGGCATGCGGCGGACAAAAGGACACGGCAATCATCAGAGACCAGGAAATGGGAGGTATCAAGGCTTCGCCTTTGGGCCGTACTATGGGCTCTGGTCCGGTGTATGCGGCCACAGTCATTAACAAGTTTATGGGCGCTGCGACGGAGAAGAGGGGTCGCGCTTCCCCCTCCGAGAGGCGTACGAGAATGCTTTCTAATTGCAGCAACAATGGGGCTAATATGTTCTCAGGTCGACAACTGATCAACGATGCTGCAAGTGTCATTACTAACGCCGGTGGAACTATTCTCAATGGTATGGAGTCACTGCATGGACCAAGACGAGCAGGCTAACACTGTGTAGGCGTCCAAGACATCGCAGACAAGACCCCGCTGGGTGGGACTATCAAGAGTAAGGAACCGTATTACAGTCAGGAAGACCGGGGCTCATATGATAAACAGGCGCCCAGTCCGCGGTTGATGACGCCCTCAGTATTGTACCAGGTCTTAAGTCCGGTGCAATGACAACCCAGGGCACCAAGGAGAATGGCATTCAGCTATACTCTGGCAAAGGTTCCAGCACGGGTCTGCCAACCGCTTCTTCAGATGGTGTTGTCACAGTCATTTATCATCAGGTAAAAGGATACCCCTGGAATAAATGGATCGATATTGACTTGTATACTCTAGGTAAACCAAGACGGCGCTGGACCTCTCACAGCCGACATTGATCCGTCCAGCGGAGGAACCAACGCAAAGGCATTTGTGTCGGCCAAAGTGATTCAGAACATCCCCGGTGTGGCAGGGTTCTCAACATCCAGCACTATGGATTACGAGGTCAAAGTCCAGGTGCCTAAAGGGATGAAATGCACTGGAACAGTCGGTGCCGCCAAGAATGTGTGCATTCTACGTGTTCGGAACACTGCTATCTCCGGGCCGTTTGGCGGTTCTGCTGCATTTACGATGTGAGAAGTGCTAACTTGTAAAGGACTCCCCTTGTATTCCCGTGTCGCGTCTGTGGTTTGATATACCGTGCTTTTTAGCTTCTAATTAGGTACACTGTGCTTGTATAATTAATAGAAACCAACGTTTAGTCAAATAATCTGGGTATTCTTGCAACCAAGCACCTCCTATACGTACTCCCGGGAGATGGGTTTCTATCTCTGCCTGCAAAGCTACTCTGTTGAACATGGCGTCCTAAAAGTCTGCTCTGAGCTCGTCCATTGGAGGCAAAATACCCTCCTCCTCAAGAACCCTGAAGGTATCCTCGAGCTCTTCCCAAGTATCAGCATAACCGTCCCATCCCAACCGCCGCGCCTTGCTCATAGTCGCAACACAGCTCCAGTCTCTTCCCAGCGCAAAAGTGAGGAAATCCCACGTGGCCTTGTCCCATCCGCTTTGGTCGAGATTGTATCTATCACGCAGTTTAGCCCATGCCTCGTTCACGTCCTTGCGCTTCGCCCATTTCTCCGGATCGACCTGCAGAAACAAGGTGGGAGTATCATCGGCCGAAACACCAATCTTGTCCGTGTGTACAGCAAGCGGGTGCCGGTTCGGCATCCGCACAGTCGTTGCCTCGTATTTACCAAAACCCTGTGTGTCCGGGGTCCCTCCATGAGGGAACATCGGGTTAGGAATCTTACAGCCGAACCGCGCAGCCAGCCGCGGCCACAGATTCTGGAAGGACTCCGTATCGCCGTTCACCACGTTGAAGATGTTGTTGCCTGTGTTGGGGGCAGTCGCCGCCCAGAGACAGAACTTGGCGTGCAGGTTCGCCGACGTCCAGCAGTTAAAGGCAAAGTAATTGGCTATGCAACCCGGGAAGGGTAGCTCGGACCCCGGGAGAGCCTTGCTGACGGCGCAGTAGAGACCTAGTGCGGTGGCTTCGTTCATGAAGTTGCCCCGGGCGTAGCCGAGGACATCCTGTGGGAGCGTGACGATCCATTCCCACTGGCCTCGTGCGGCGGCCTCTTTGAGGATCCGCTGCTGTTCGTAGTAGAAGATTGGGGGCCAGGTGGTGCCACCCTGGTTGCCCTCAAGCAGAGGGTCATCCTCAACGAGCGGCTGCTTACAATTACCCAGGTGGACGCCGTAATGTTTGAAGCCGCAGGTCAGAACAAAGCGCTTCAACTGCTTGATAGCACCGGTGATTTCCAATGCTTGGATAAAGTTTGACAACATCAATCCATTCACGCGTGACAATTCCGCTGGATCATCCTGTGCCAAGTAAGCGCAGAAGAAGACATACTCGGCGGAGATGTCCTTGAGGTTCCTGGCCATGTCCTCGGCTGAGCCCCGGAGGTCGAGGGTTGCATGTTGGATTTTTGCGTTTTCGCCGCCAGGATTTCTGCGAGAGAGGGAGTAGATCTTTTGATATCGGGGGTCTTTGCATAAATGACGCACAATAGCACTTCCGTTGATTCCTAGTGAGAATATCAGCAGGAGGTTCATTTGGTGACATAGGCACTTACCGGTTGCACCGGTAACAATTGCAGATGGCATATTGAGGACAAAGGAGAGCTATAATCGATTATTTATGATTTCACAAACTGATAGGAGAGATTAAATGGCAGGACCTATGCAGGGTAAATCTTTATACGCATGTCTCATTTATTTACGGCAAAAGGACATATTGATGTTCAGGATCTGGTTATGACAAAGTATGATATCACCCACAGGCCATGAAGAGCGGCATCTCCATGACTACCATCATTGGGTGAACTGTAATTCACTATTAGCGCCAGAAACCGAGTAATCGATCACAGCAGCTAAAGTGGTCATTATTGGCCCATATCCCAGTCTCTGCGTGGAGGATCCCTTGAACCGGTGGAACAGACTCCGGCAGATGTCAAGACTTCGGTCCAATCCACCGGGCGAGATATGTGCATCTGGAGATTCCTGTTACTCCACAAGGGGATTACTGTGGACTGGGGGGCCTAAGGGCCAAGGGGATCGTGTGCGACCTTCTTTTAGTGAACTTTTGCAGATCCCGACCAGAGATAAACTATGTACATGCACATAGTCATCTCTGCATGCCATGGTCAATCAAGCCGATCTCGAAGCCAGCCCTTGAGCTTTTGCAAAGCAATGTATCGTTCAGACAACTGATTCTACCTGTCTGTCAGTAAATCACCGGCATATTTGCTGCGAGCTTGACATGCCTTTGTTTGAGCATCCATCTCTCCGTATGTTTCCCTTGGACTTCGAATATTGGATCGAAGGCTAGAAAGATTAGATCGCCCAAGGTTAAAAATCCAGCTTATTAAGATTTTACCAAAGCCATTAGTTCCTCTCGGCGTGACAATCTGACCGTCAACCCGACCCTGGAATAGAACAGGCTCAACACCCGGTCCGGAGGAGAAAGCATACGTGAAGACAGCAGATGCAGATTTGTCCTTAAATGCCGCCAGAAGCTGACACAGTCCGTCATTCCCAAGCGCCGAATAAAACTCTTTTCTGTGGGAGAAGCAGAGGTCAGAATCCACTGGACGGCAGACAAGCCAAGCGTCTCAGTCACATACATGTAGGGGCCCGGCAATCCATTTAGAGCACGAAACTCAAGGGCACTATCTTCCGTCAAAACTGGGCCTTTCATCTGTTCAGAGTTAATCGTGGCGCTAGATATCGCTCTCATGTAGGATAAGGGCATGGGATTCCTCATACCGTGGCAGCTGCATTACGCCACTTCTCCCGTGCAATTTCTTCTAGCGAGCCCTGGATTTCAGGAACCTCGATGACATGTCGTCGGAGCCGTGCTACATTTCTAAGTATGGCTTCGGCTTCAGCAAACTTTCGAAGATTGCCAGTCACAAAATGGATCAATGGAGGTTCCGCGCGGCCCATTGTTGCCTACAACGGCTGACAAAATAGTCGGGGCGGGAAGATCAAAGTATTGCACTACAAAAAATCTGAAATTGTAGGAAGCCTTGGAACTTATTAGCCGCGCTCTATGCGTGCCGATGTGCCCCGATTGGCCTTGTGGCTTCTGGCTAAGTACAGCAGGTAGAGGTGCGTCTGGCAGGTTGTCTACTCACATATCATTTAAGCGCGCATGATTGCTCATAAGGCATATGTAATATATACAGGTGCAGGCTCCGTTTTAGATTGCTGCGTGCGTATGCTCCCAGATCACGACATTTACTACAAGGCCAATATGATGCCAAGCACATGAGGGGAAGGTTACATGGCGTGGATTCAACTAGCTGTATCCCTGTCTCCAAGATTCTCCGCTTGTTCTGTTTGCCTAGTAACGTGCCTAACTGCTTTCAAAAGCGGTAACAAGTCACACTACATCCTAGAATTGCTAGAGACAAAGTCCTTGATCTTCTTTCCTAGTGACCACTAACTGACGGACTCATAGAGATAACTACACGGGGGAAAAGGTCTATATATGGCTGAATATCAGTCAAGGGGCACCAGCTGGCAAAATCCTTACACCAGACAATGAATCCCAATTTTTCACTCCCTTGCTGGGGGAGAACTGGGGGCGATTGATGCACTTCCAGGTGGAAGTATTCCGGCCAGCTACACCGAAGTCTGAAGCACTTGTACAAAATGCACCATTCACATCGGTAAGGATGGGGCATGCCGAGTCGCTCAAGCTGATCCCAACAGAAATACTGTATGTGTAGTGGAACTTACCCTAGCTGAGTGATGGGCTGATCATCATCTATAAAGTCAATGAATGAGCAATAAGTGATTAATATTGAGTCTCCTTTGCTTGGTCAATACCAAGGATGATCCTCGTGTTTCAGAGAATAACAATCCGAGCACGAGACTCAATTCATCTTTATGAGACAAGGGCTTTTAGCCTATTGACTGGCATTGCTCTTTGGGCTGCTATATGTACACAACTATAGGCTCCTTTGATAATTTTAAGCCATCTTCGTTCATGCAAGCAGCATTAACCATGAGAGTAGACGATCTCCCATTATGACGCAGACCGACCATTTCCCTCACAATGGTAGACACTGCCGACAACAAAACCATTGCAGCATCCCGCCACAATCTTGGTTGAAGGAAATCTGTACGGCCAAAGAGGCCCAGTCTAGTACTGGACAACTCTGAAAAGCCCAAACAGTACCTCTCACACCACCTCTGAGAGCTGTCCCAATGCACGCGCTCTAACCCATATGATGTATGCACATGCCCAAACACATGTAGTAACGGACGAACCTTCCACAATTCTTGAAGTAGAAACGGGCAACCCTCCGGCGAGTCGTGGTACCAGTCCAAGTGGAACTTTGGCGGAGTGTGTGTCACCAGGATATCAGTAGATGCAGGGACGTTGCCAGACCACGGATTGTGATCGACTGGGTATTGGAATGCATTTTCGGGGCCGCCACAGAAAGGGACTTGCGGCGCTCCGTAAATATTTATCTGCCGTCGAACACCAGAGGAAGCGCCAGGGAAGGTTAGAGACACTGAAGATTGCTGGAGATAATGTATATCTCCCCAGTCGAAGGCTGTGCCAGATCCCTGTGGCGGAGGGACTCTTTCACGTGGGCCACTCTCAACTGAGGATGTTGTCACCGGCCCATCGTCGGCTAACCGGGAATTGACGTCGAAAAATCGATCACTGTTACCGCATATCACAACCTTGTGGGGATGCGGTAGTGACTTTAGCCAGTTAATGGCTTCCTGGATCTCGGCTGCGCTTCCGTGGAGGGTCAGGTCGCCAGCATGGATCAGAAGATCGCCATATGGGATGTCGCATCGCTGGGAGTGAGTGTCAGAGACACAGACCACTCGGATGCGTGATTGTTGTTGATTTTTTACCGCTGCTAGTATCCAGATAACATAGTTTGATAAGGTATAGACTACCCTGATGACCATTGTAAGAGGGGATGATATGAGTTGATGAGGATGGCCACCATGTCCTATCTGAAGAAAGAGGGACTTTAAGCCGAACAAATCTATTCCAAACATTGCGAAATTATGTGACAGCTTGTGGATGTCTATGTACAGGATACGATAGACCTGAGTGCGACTACTAATACCGCTTCCCCGCTAGGCAGCCTCTGGATGACGTGGGCAGCATTCGGGTCACAGACAGGAGGCCGGAACGCCCTTTGATCCACTCAACTGCATGTCAAAATTGGCTAATGAATGAAGCTTATTGATTTGCCGATAATATGCGCTATATTTCAGTCAAATAGCCGAATATGCCCAGTCCCTTGAGAATCTACGTCTGCGAAGGACGCTCGATATAAATGTAGCTCACAAGGTACTGGGTCAAGGTTTCGCAGTATGGCGAGATCCAACGGCTTAATACAATTGCAGCTACACCGTGAAAGGTATCCTAGTTTATACTGTACTGACTCCCCGAGACTTGCACATAGTCGCTGCCGGTGACCTTGAACAGCCCCACGACAGCCGATCAGTGAAAGCTGCGGCTCGTATCCAGGAACTCAGACCACCCCTTGGTGACCGCTGATAAGCCCAGCAGGTCGTAATTACATGTCGAAGGGAAATCGTCCAGGTTGCAAATGCACATGGGGCCACATACGCCTCAGTCACACCCGTCTTGGTGACAATATCACTTGAGGACCTGAAACGTCAGTTGGATGAGCTGGGCGACCTGCAAGACATACAAATTGCCGTGAACAGGCAGCACAGGAGGCGTACGATGCATTCCGTAACTAGCTAAAATGTCAGAAGCGATGACAGGGCTTTCGTGGAGAAGTATGACATTCCGAAAACGGGCTCGTCTGTAGCCACCTCCTTGGCGGCCGGACTGCAGCCCTCATTGTCCATTGTGTGAGACTGGGGGGCATCTACAACACCTATCAGAATCGACATGGTAGTGTAAATTGGCAGACGTACGATCGCATCAAGTAGTATAGCTTGATGAGGAGGGTTTTCGACAAAATGAGTGATGCCGGTCCATCTCTCCGGAGGGTGGCTGTGGAAACCTACTTCAAAGAACCAACGACATGCACGCAGGGGTACTGATCGGGGAGGGATTAAAGAAGAAGACATTGCAGAAGAAGTGGGAGACTGTTGCTCAACTGGCTCGGGATCTGGAGCCTTATGATATGGAGCAAAGTGTGGCCAACGATGGAACTTGCAATGATATAACTGCAGCCCTATGTATTTTTCTAGGGGCAATGAAACTACTGCCTCATTTGTTGCATCACAGTAACAACCGCAGCACACGCCACGGTCTATTGTTGTTAACAGTTTGGTAGCAACATGAAACGTGGATAGTTACATCTATGAGAGATAAGGAAAGGAAAACCTGATCAATGACGATGGCGACCCTCGATCAAATCCTTCGCTGCAACCTTCCTGCATTCCTCCAATACCCTCAATTGGTCGGCAACCTCACCCAGTCTACTAATGACTTCCTTGTTCCCCCGCGTAAAACCAAATATGACGTAGGGAATTCCAACGTCGCGGCAGAACTCCTTCACATACGGCTGCGCCCGGCGCAAGTTATGCCTCGGGAGGCGAGGGAAAAGATGGTGCACGACTTGGAAATTGAGGCCACCATGCACAAAGTCCAACCACGGCGGGCAATCAACGTCCATGGTCGTCCGCACCATCTTCTGAGCGAATGACTCATCGACGCCCAGATCGGCGCTGGACATGGCGAAGTGACTGAGTGTGAGCTGTACATGCAACGGGGCGGTGACCATATGCGAGATGAGCAGAAAGATAACGCGGGACGACCACGTCGGGATCGAGAGGTATACCGTCCGGTAGCCGTACCAGTACCAGAAGAAAATCTGACCGGCCATTTCAAGGTAGCGATGCCACCATGCTGCGCCTTTCCGGGGCGCCTGTGCCGGATCGAGGAGATATGACCATGCTAGGCGGTACAGGTTGAAACGACCGAATAATAGTATGGGATAGTAGAGGTAATGCTGGTACTTGATGAAGAACCGTGCTGCAGTGTCGAGATTCATATCGCGGTCGTAGTAGCTCGAGCGCAGGGAACTAAAGAATCGAGAGGAGATGGCAAAAAACGGCATGTGCTGGATGTCCGGATCGTGCTCGGGCGAGTTGGTTACTATGTGATGCACGTTGTGATTCCGCTTCCACCAACCGATTGATAGGCCACCGAGGAAATCGGCAATGAAAATCCCGATGCAGCTGTCCGTGTGGAATCCATGGGTTATGCTTAGGTGACCGGCGTCGTGGACGGTGAATGCAAGCAGGTGCCAGAGTAATCCAAGGAAAAGGCCCGAAAGAGCGTAATAGGAATAGTGAAGACATGTCAAAAAGAGAACGAAGAGAACCAAGTATCGAATAAATTCGACAGCGTATGAGCTATATGGACAATCGTAGAGTCCTTCGGATTGCAGTCTTTCGTCGAGCTGGCGGTACTTTGAGGCAACCTCGTCTTGGGACCTCTTATCCAGACGAGGATATTTTGAGAGATCGGATGATATCGCGTGGGCGGTTGATGCTTCCACAGATCTGAATTTCCCAAGCTGCGGCTCTGATGGGGCTAATGATGAAGCTCGAGAAATGGGTGTATCATTTCCTGCGCGCCTCAGACGAACTTGGTCTCCTGTCTCTTCGGAATCGAAGATTGTTGATGGTGGTGTCGATTGTCCAGATGAGCTGACATCTTCTTCGGCAGATGCCGCTTCGTCGTCGACATCCTTCGATATCAGCGTTCTGAACGTTCCTCCCTGTATCGGAGGCAAGAAATTTTCCCATTTTCCGTGTATTCTTCCAATCACATACTTTTGCATATGTGCCTGTGCTTCCTTTGAGTGCAACGCGGTTATTTCGTCCGTTGCATCCCGACCGACCATGTGCAATATGGATTTATTGCCGCCTGGATGATATGGTAGCCACGCGTCGACCTTGAGTACCTGATCCCCCAATATGATGATCTTATGGCCATCTGCTATCAATCCCTCAATTTCTCCCCGCGTCCACACTCGATTTTTGCGTGACATGCCGGGCGAAACAGGCCAATGGTAGCTGCAGCGGATGAGCTAGAGAATGATTCCAATCCCGGAACAGATGATGACGATGGAAGCTTAGCATTGGGCGGAAAAAAATGAGGCACTTGCATGTAGAGTCGTACGATTCCCTCAGCACTAGGAAAGTTGGTGTCATGGTGTCAGCCTACAGAGTCACGTGTGGGACATAATCCTCCATCCCCCCGACGACAGAACGACGAAATAAGACATTAATTATGCTGATTTATCAGACCCAGAACAGCAAATATCTGGCATAAGAGGTGTCGCCCCACTAACGTATTAGTGTATTGTACGATGTGTATGGTGCTAGTTATCCAGGCTTCCGAGGTTATCTTAGTGGACTGCTAAATATATACCAAATTAGTAACCTGTAGTTGGGGCCCATATAAATGTATAAGAAGAGGAAGGAGTCATACTGCATGAAGTGGATGGGTGGAGAGGTTAACATTGAATTAAAGATATTAAGGATCTGTAAATTTTAGTTATAATAGACTTCATGGATCCTTTGTTGAAGAATCATCATCAGCCCCTTTCCCAGAACGCCTTGGGGAGATTGTGCTTGATTACGCATACCGCTCCAGCTAACATCTTACCGCTGCCGTAGTATTCATGTGCTAGCTCGTTATCATACCGGATGTCGAAGATCTGGAGCTTGAATTAAGAACTAAATCGCTCATTTCCAAAGGGGGATATGCTCACCACCTTCTTAGGCATCTTCGCAGTGCTTACTGTACGCGATGCAGAGTATATATGTTCCAGTCTATAGGGTTAGACGCGGTCGTGAAATCTCTAGCAGGGCTAGTAGTCCACACCGTTTAATACTCCTAATATTTCTCTACTCTCCAAAGAAAATCCAATCCGGAGTCACAAGGTCAAGATCCAAATCATCCAACCAACTCAAGAAATCTTCACTGGCGAGTTCGAGCCCCAGATTCGCATCCAGTCGGGCTCCTGAATCCAGTGTCATCGCGTCCGATACGCCATCAAAGTTGGTCCCTTGCTGCAGCCCGGGTATATTGCCAGTTGCTGCACTTCCTTCCCCATTCCCGGCAATAACGGGAGCAGAGACATTGGAATGCGCCAAAACGGGCTGGTAGTCGAGCGAATTGTCTAGAAGCCGGCTAATAAGGGTGATAAGCTCCATACATGCTGTGGAAGAGCTTGTTGATGGCAGCTCTGATGTCTGAAACCACGAAATTACAAAACTCAGCGTGCGGATGATCTCGGAGCGAGGCATTGAAGATGGTAGGGCTCGGTTCGAGAGTGTGTGACGGTGAATCTCTGAAACCAACACACCCGCGGCGGGTATGACATAGATCAGACACTTGACGATAGTCTCCAACGTCAGTCATGGTCACTGACGTAAGGGGGCACGTCACGAGGAAACAAAAACAGCACAACATACTATCCAGGGGAGCTGTTTACGGACTTCATGCCGCTGGCACCGTCTCGTAAGGTCGACAATCACAGATAAAATCTTCGTTGATGTGTCCAGAAGATCTTTGATCCCGTTCATACTGTCCTGGCAGCGGATCCGATGGAGTTGAAAAACGCTGAGCAAGTACTCGCAATGCACAATCACGCGGGCCAAACAGTCAACAGCACCCATTGTTTCCCAGCACTCAGGACGGTACCGGAACTGCTCAGGTATCTTTTCCCAGGTGTCTCGGCATCTTTGGTAGGCGAACCTAACGAGGTAAAGGTCAGATATCGGAAGCCAGAGGGAAAGTGAAGTATACAAAAGCCGATCTCCACGACCAGTCTCTCCTCTACAGCCTAATGATAGATCGAGTACTTGCTCGCGCAGAACCGACAGGATCTGGCGCATGCGAATTACGGTAGCCGGGTAAAATCGTCCAGCTGTGTTCCAGCCTTCCTTATCCAAGGTAAGAAGCGCCATCTCGATACATTTGTGATCTAGGAACAGGGTTTCATCAGCCAGATCCCGTGGCAGTTCTACCGCGCAGTAGTGATGGGGAAGACGAGGGGGTCTCCCAAGCAGCGTCGCAATGTTTTTGTCGGTTCTGTGTGTCACTGCAAGTATGCGTCTGCGAGTCTCGGACAGGTAGAAGGGGATGTTCTTGTCCTCATTGTGATGCAACCCCATTGCATAGATACTGGATACAAGGTCACCAAACAGCCTGTAGACCCGTCCACCTGCCGCGATGTCGCATTAGCTAAAGCCGTACAGCCGTGGGCGGGATAGTCAGCGTTCGGTTCTGGGATGCTGAACAACTAACTTGTTTCTCCTAAAACCTCCGTTCCGAGGAAGATATGCATGTACCGCATCCACACCACCACATCATTGGCCTGCCCATATCGACTGCAAAGTTCAAGGCAGGCATTACATGCAAGCACCATGTCCTTGGTGAAGGTCTCCACATCCATCTGCTCGCCATTTCTCAGCTCAAGGACGTGGTGGCTGGGGTAACGACCTTGCACACTAATGCCTGCCAATGCAAGCATCAAGCCCACAAACTCCCACCGAAGTCGTTTCCCACTGACCATCATGCGGAAGTCGTCCAGAGTCGTAGTGGTGTCGACCAGGAGCGGAATGGCACTTGCAGCAGAGATCGCTTTGTGCAAGGATTCCCAGTTACTGATACCGTCCCAGGACTCCACCTGAACATACTCTTTCAAGACTGCCAGCGGACCCAATATCAAAGGTGCGGGGATTATGGTAAACCGGCCCCTCTCGTAGTACCAGGCGATTTGTTCATAATGGAATGCAGCCGCAGATACAAGGCGGATGAGTCGAGCGAATGTGTACGCATGGTCAGTCCGCCAGTGCTCGAACTCGTCCTGGAGGCATCGACTGGACGGGGAAGATGGTAGAACAGACAGAGGGTGTTCCTTCAATGCAGCCAAATAGCTTGTTGAGCCCAAAAACTGTGAGGTGTCTGACCCAGGAGTCCTTGCTGTAGCGCTCAGGGACGAGGGAGACAGCCCTTTCCCGTGATGCTCTGTCAATTCTGCATCTTTTGTCTCGTCCCGGTTCCCAAGTTGGTTTCCGCGCTGGCGTGCGCGTCGAGCGCGGACCTGTTTGTCTCGAACTCGAGTCAGGGGAGCCGGGTGGTAGTAGCACTGCGGCTAGTCAGGCACAGGCCACAATAAACAGGTACTATCGGCCAGATAAACCCACAAGATTGCCTATTGCTCTGGTCTGACATCGTTGGCAAATGGGGGCCGCATGGTCGCACCGCACCTTTGCGATGCGACATGGCTCACATGAAGAGGGCTTTCTGTTTCGGCGGATCATCAGTGCTTGTCTGGATGCAAGGGAAAAGGAGGAGGTAAAAAAGAGAAAAAGATCAAAAATAAAAAAATAGAAAATAAAAAAAACAAATCTGTGTTGCCTGGAATTTTCAGCCCCTTCCCCGGTCCACGGTTTCTTTCTTCGGGCGCCGTTTCTTTAAAGCTGAGGAGGCAGAGGGAGCTGGTTTCTTCTCATTCCGAGTCGGAGTGAGTGGCCATGCGTTTTATTCCGGGTTCAGAGGTTTAAGACCCATGGATGTACGCAAGCACCTCATCGCAATATGATAAGCATTGCCAGGGATTCAATTGCGACGGAAGGCTCTTCTAGCACTGGGGTGGCATGGTTCTAGCATATCATGTATAAGCCTACAGCAGGATTAATCCCTGCTTTCCCACCCAGGTGAGGGGTATTCTGATGTCTTCCTCGGCGGGGAGGCATGATTACTGTAGAAAGCATCTTAACAAAGAACGGATCCACTATATGACAACAATTTGCGCCTTGTACTTTTTTGATTATGCTCCTACTGAGACCGAATATGATGCTGAGCTGCCTTACCAACGGCTTCGACAAGGGCTTCGTCATCATGTATCTTGAAAACGCACTCGCTGGACCAGCCGCTCGCTGGCTTGACGACAAAGGGGTAAGTTAAATAAGAAAGTGGCATTTTTGCTTTCAGGTCCTCTACCCCTTCACCAGGATAGACCTTGCGTCTTCTTCCCTGCACCGGGTAAGGTACTTGTCGCAGGACACCTGGTATGCCTCGCTGGAGGAGGTTGGAGATGAAGCTCTTCTGCGGTGCGTAACTAACCAGCGTGATTGCACCATCGCCAGGCAATGGATCGGCCGTGGATAACTGCAAAAGGTGTTGATGATTCGTTCCGCCCCGATTCACTCCAGAACTCAGATCAACCTTAATGAAGCCCTCCCGAAGGAAGGCAAGTTCGTGGCTGTTCGGGAACTAACCTCCAGAGCTGATCACCACGACGTCGATCCCAAGGCCAAATCGGCAATTCCGGCGCCGCATGGTTGCTGCGACGTCAACCTCTTCTGTCACCGATGCCACGCGCTTCAGCGGAATGGGATATGGAATGACCAAGGAAAAGATAGTCTGTGAATGAGTTCACGCTCCACTGCATTAAATGCCTCCTTGGTAGGATGGAGGAGTGTGAGGACGCCCATCGCATAAGGTAGTAGGGTACATAAGTCCGGCGTGGCCAGATCAACCTGAGGAACAGGGTGATTTCCGCAAGAGGGGAGATAAAGCCCTTTACGCACGAAATTAAATGGTCTGCCGTTTCCAAGCGGAGATGTAAGGAGTCCAACCGCACGATATAATCCGGCTCTGGGGCAAGATCAGTCTGATGACCACGTCCTCGTTGGGGGATCCACCCAGTATACTGGTGAACAAGTGTTCTGAGACTTGGTCTGTTGTGGTCACTACCACGGGATGTAAGCCGGGAGTCCGTTCCCGGGAGAGCAAAAGGTCAAGGCTAAGCCTAGGATATGGGGCCAGAGAGCCCAAGAGCCGCCATTGACAATGCACACACACGGCTCGGACAAGGACAAATTGATAAGGGAGAGGGGGCTGCAAAGACAAGATCCATGGCTTTCGCCTTTTAGTCTGCATCAATGATTTGGGTAGGAGGGACAACGTTCAGCTTTTGTAGTTTGCTGTTGGTTTCGGTCTCTGTCTTATTCCGCGAAGGGACTAATATATGTGCATTCGATTCCGGATATGGAATCTCAAGAAGCCGAGAGGGCCGGAGCCCAACAATGTTGGGTAGGTTATACAGGATACAGGTCATGTAGGTTATATTAAGACATCGACCAAACAGTCCATTTCCGCGTAAACTACCCGTACTCTACAACCGCCTAGCAGCCATGATCCCGTATGACGATCTTGTAGCCACCTGCATTATTAACATCCAAGCAAGCAACCGATCCTCCATTCACGCTCGTGACCAAGTTCCCCGCACATTCTCTGTTATCGTAGATACAGAGTTTGAATTGTCCACCTCCGTTGAACGAGTAGCGAGTGCAGCCGTAAGTCGAAGACCCCCTACCGTGCGTGTCCCCGCTGCCACGGCAAACTTGTCCTGCTGAATAACAATTGAAAGTATAACTTGACTGCAGGTCCGGCCCATCGACGGCGGTCACATTGGCGGGAGCAGGTAGGAAGAGAGCGGACGCAGAGCGCACCATTGCGATGACGGCGAGGGCAGTCACTACTAGTCCGCCAGCACACGGTATGTGTCGATGATGGGATTAGGTGGATTGAGCCATGCCGGTAATAAAGTGTCGTATAAATCAGTGTTGTGATCTGGGGAGGAGAAGGTGATGGTGTTCTCTGTTCTCTCGGTTTCGCGCAGATCCGGATTGATCTGATGAAGTGCTTCTGTGACGTACACAAAGTCTTCCTCGGGGGCAGGATTCTTGACAAATCTGAGAAGGATGATGGTCATTGTAAAGAGTCACCGGAAACAATTCGACTCGTCCAAAACTTTTATATAACTGTGATTGATGGTCAGAAGGTGCTAGAATCCAGAAAGATCCCTTGCCTGCGTTGTATGATCCTGTGATAGCAGAGAGCGTGGTCCTAGACCGGGAGTAGTGAGAGATAACCTATGCTGCTTTAGAATGGTACTGATAAGGATCCTTGTTCGCAGACAAGGTATATAGTTGATGGACGTGCAAGAACAAGAGATCAGTCTCAGCTTTGAGTAGCATGTGATTATGCAGGTGAACTGCGCCGCGCTCATTCTATTCCCTGATTGACTCGATACATACCCGCTGCTGGCTTCCGCCGGAATATAACATGGATGCTACGGAGTTCGGAATAACATGTCTGTCTAATTATCGAATAAGTTGACAAGTCCAGGGCACCCGATGTCCAAACTATCTAGAATGGCCAAAATCTGGCGCACAATACAACAATCAACATACAATTTCAACATGGAGGAGGACAGTCTTCTTCTCCCTTCCATCAGCATCGGCGCACCCGAGGAAGACTCCTGGAAAGCCACCTGGCAAGCATGGAAAGTACCATCTTTGTGCTATGCATGTGCTATATTACTGGACTGGGCACAGGTAATGCGGGCCACTCCCCACGTGTGCCTCTTTGAATCGATTCTTTGTGAGCGTCATGATAGTGCACGCTCGCTCCACCACCTATCACAAATGGCCTTGCCGGAGAGTATGTGCAAAATCGCTTCTGTTCAGAAAGACCTTGTTACCATCCAAGCATAGTTGAAGCTAGGAGATAATCTATGTAGTATCTTGACTCCAGCCCCCTAGTAGTAGAATATGAAATGAGTCTAATCCTTATGGAACAGCCCTGGTAACAGCAAGGCTCTTCGGTCGGCTCGCTAGTCCTCAAAGACGGACTCTGGTGCTCACCTTAGGAGTTTGGGGCCAGGTTCTCGCCGAGGCTTGGATCGTTGTGATATGTTGTCTTACTCCTCGTTCCTTTTGAGATTGTCTATGTATCGATCATGTCGAGGGCTGTCGGTGCTGGTGAGATGGTTCTCTCTGCTATTGTCATGCCATCGTAGCAGATGTTGTTCCGGAAGGTAAAAGGGCAGAGGCATTCTTCCATCTGGCCAGCACCACATTGCTATTGGAAACATTTGCACCAGCGATAGGCTCCGTTCTAATGGACACGGAGGTGTACGCATCTTTGCTCGCCGGTCCCCCCTCTGCAGTTTATGTCGCTCGTGGCGATTGCCATGCTTCCAAAGGAGACAGAGCTTCTTCGGGAACCGACTGGCACGGTCACAGACCGAGAAGCAGGATACCCTGCCACGCAACACTCAGTCCGGCAACTTCTACGCCATCAATGACCCTTCTTCCTGATCCATGTCTCCTTTTGACTGCGGTGCTGGCACGAGAGACCCTGGGTCTTTCTCGTGAGCTCTAAATCTAGTTGAGTCTGAATACTATTCTGACGCCATGACCCTCTCTGTAATACATCTGGAATGTAACACTTGCAACGTGTGATAAGTAACTCTTTTTCCACAGGAATCAAGAATGTTATGAATAACGGCAAGTGACAAATACATTACGTGTTATACTAGGACCACGAGCTTTACCTTTGCTCAGAATGTTTGCGAAGAGATACATTGACTTGAAGGTCTTTGACTCTGGAAGCTGAGAGGTTGGTGTACCATGGAAACATCATAGATTCTGCAACCATGCCTGCCATTCAAAGACATTCGTACGTACTCATGGATACAGACCGTTGCATATCACCAGTATAGTATAGTTTTGTTTACTGTCTCATCCTTACCGGTAAACCACGCGGACTATAGCTGTTCTGGGCATTTATCCAATCAATTCTAGCTTTAGGGCTTCAGAAAACGACTGATAGTATCCCTCTAACTAGTGAACCAAGTAATATATAGACTGTCCTATTATTTAACTTAATACTAACCACCTTTACTAATACATTACATTGCACAATAGATACCTTAAAGATAGTAGATAATAAAAATAATTAGATACCTGCAGGCCTAGTTAAGGCAGTAGCTAAGAAAGAGATCTAGATAATAGAAAACTCTATAATCAGCTTTACCTAATAAAAGTTAAGAGTGTCAAGAAGGTAGCAGTACTAGATGAAAACGATAATACTGGAGTAGGGGCTGTGGTAGCCTCTGGTGGGGAGTATAAAACCACTATTACTAAGATTATATAGCTTAGCAGAAATGAGAGTGCGAAGGCCTGTAGTTGATGGTAGTATACCTACATGGCCATGCTGTTTGCATCAATTCCGAATGCCCGGAAAGACCGGATCGAATCTCTACAAAGACCGGTACGGATAGAATTCCAAATTACTACTAGTGATGAATCATATACAATCCAATGAGTGACGAAGTGGCTCGGTGTGCTGCTACGCTCTGTCCGAAAGCGGCAATAAGCTATCCTCGGGAGCATTTTAGAGTGGAATGACGCCGTGCTATGAAAGCCCCGGTGGCCCGCAAGGGAGGACATATAAGGAGACCGACAAGGCTGTCAAGTCTCTTCGCTGTTTTCCTCATCTGCTTGCTTTAATTAACCAACGTCTGCTTTACTTCAATTTCCGATAAATTTGGATTGTAAACCAAGAAAATTCATTATGGAGGGTATTACAGCAGACGTGATTCTCAAAACCAACTCTGAACTGGCTCAGGACAGGACCGACGCGAAAAATGCTGCAATCCGCAGGCCCGGTGCAAAGGTGAATGTGATGAGTGATGAAGAATGGAAGCGAAGAGTCAAGGTGGCTGAAGAGAACAGAAAGAAGAGAGAAGAGGCCGAAAAAGATGAAAAGCTGCGCCAGTATTATAAAAAGCAAAGGGAGGAAGATCTGCAGCGGCAGCTCAAACAGTATGTGACTAGCCTTGCCCGGAACAGCAAGCGAGACCAGAAACATCAAGAGTTGTACCGACAGATACTGAGAGAGGCACTTGACTTGGAGGAGCTGGGAGAGGATGAACTTCAGGTCTGGGAGCATGCAAGCAAGACGATGTCTTACTTTATGGCAAAACTTGACATAGCCCACGATTGGTGGACCCATCCAAAGGAACAGATGGCTGGTCTTGAGGAAAGGTTCAAGCATGCGGTTCTGCCTACTTCCCGGAAGGATGCCGACTACTGGTATGACTTTGTGAAAAACAGAAGGCTGAAAAGATCAGTGTGGTAAGAGCTCATCCTTCTAGAGCAGATGCTATGATTGCTAGCTAGTTACACTATGCTAATTCTCGCATGGCGCACTAGCCCAACTTCTCTGACCGTTTGACAATGGCCTTGAAAGAACACCAGCAACTGGTCACCAAGTTCGGAAATGTGACCTACAAGATCTCAAACCCACCGGCAAACGAGTGGGTCATTTACTCCCTCGGGGCAGTTCCCCACCTTGTTGATGACAACAAACCCAAGAATATTGAAGAATGGAAGAAGTTGATGAAAGATGCTCTTGATAATAAAAAGCACCCGAAGGCCCCTACGATGGACTCTGAACTGGCCGAGGTCCTTAACAACCACATCAAGGATTGGGAGGAGGCTAAAGCGGTTCGGGATCTGGCAGAGCATCCTGAGATTGACGCCTGGTTCCCTCTCGTGAATTTCAGGGGCTTTTTGATCAAGGAGCTACAGGGCGACGATGAGATCAAACTATTGATCGAGGATATTGCGCTTGCTGACTAAATTGGACGGAGTTCGCCTGTCAAGTTCTGTGTCTGGACAAGTTAGGTTCCACATTGTCATGCGTTCTTTGCGGCCCTATATTACTCTTGCAGACTGCTGCTCATTGTTGCCAAAATATGAGAGTTACAAGGCTCTGTTCGCCTAAAGAGGAAAAATATAAGTATTGGCTCTGAAATTGTTAACATGGGCATGTTTCGTAGTAAAGAATCTTCCCTCGTCTTGGTCCAAGTCTCTGTCGTTGTATTGTACAGTATGTGTATAGTAGATCGGCTTCATACTGATTGTATTGGGGATCCTGTCGATTGTACTGTTTATATACGTAGTGGTTTAAGAATCCAGCAAGTCAGAAGCCATGCCTTTCGGCGAAAAATCCCTTCTTCTTCAGAGAGTTGGACCACTCATCGGCAGTTGTGGCTATATGTCGGTGGTATAAAGGGAACCTTGACTCAGCCCATGGCGGCTGAACCACCTAACAACGATGCAATTTTTTCCCTCATAATTTGCCTGGTTGCAGGCCTGAGAGCACAAGTGCGTGTATATCTTTATCACTATATGCTTACCTACAGTGCTCATATACTTTCTGACCTTTGATCTATTGCTATACCTACTCTATACTCATTTGTCTTTTTTCCCTGTTTAATTGTCATGTATCATTACGCGTGGGTTAATTCTATTTCTGACCAAATACTGACACAAGCTGTCCCTCTAAGAGTCAAACAATCAGTGTGCGTTTGTAGATCACACTGATTTCGCGAATCACTACTCTGTATACTGTATCAATATGCAACCCACTACCGTTATCACAGATCTATTGACATGAAAATGAGAAATATGATTTGGTATTAAAACTCTATAAGAAATGCCTGTCAAGTACTTGAGAACCTGCATGTCTGAAAAGCCAGCCTGTCCTCATGGCTGGGAAAAAAGAGAAAATACCCTAACCCTAAGTTAAGATCCTCCCTCCCCTATATAGAGGGATATTATAGATATTACTATAGTAGGAGTAGTTACTTTCTATTACTATATCTATGGAATAAATACTACTATCTTCCTCTCTTCCCTATATAAATCTAATAAGAAAATTAATAAGTAACGTAAGTAGTCCCTTTCCTCTCTCTATGTATCTTAGGCCTAGCTTACAGGTAGAAGACGTCTCGAGCCTTTTTCGGGCTGCAAGGAGTCGCTTACGGACCTGATTTAGTCCTACTGGGAGAGCAAAGAACCGGAGAACGCTATTCTCGAGCGGCAGTATGCAGAGGGCAAGCAAGAAAAGCTTAATGCCGATATGTAGATAATACTCGGAAGGATGTAAGATACTGAATGGTGAATGTATCAGTGCTTCATCGCAAGACTGAGCAAAGAGGCTGGAAAGGGTTTCAAGTAACGGCCTCTAGACGGTAAGAAGAAGTGGTCCCCATATGAACCAACATAATGTAACGTCAAATAAACCATCCGATAGTCCCTGCACCAAAGACTACTCACCCGTGGTAGCTAGCTACGACTCGAAAATCCACAGTTGTATTCAGCTTCCTCGTCCATTCAGGTGAGTGACTAGCTCTCTATCGTATCACGGGTGACAAAATCACAGATACATCTCCCGTTGGACTGATGGAAATACTGTTGCAGTGTGTTGAAAGATATTGAACATACAATACATCGTTCCTTTTCGATGGTCAAGCCTGAATACCGCAGTGGAAATATGCCTTGATAGGCAGATAATGACGCTAAACCGCAATCAGTCAACCCTCCGAAAATTAACAGTCAAGGTCCGAATGCAAGACAGCCACTTACAGCAGGTCTCTTATATAGAGGCTTACTCGACTCCTGCTAGCTCTACGGAAGAGAAGGTGATCTTCAGAGCGGAGACAAATTAGTCTACAAAATGGTTTTTGGAACCTTATACACGTTTCCTGTAAGTACATTGCTGATTGTTGCATCGTGTGTTATATATACGTAGTGACAATCCCCGTAGGGCGATCAGTGCCGAACGATAGCCATTAAAGCTGTCGCCAAGGCTAATGGACTCGACCTCGACATTCGCGAATCCCCAAGAACTCCCGACCATCTGAGTATCAGCAAGCTCGGCAAGGTCCCTGCCTTTCAAGGTACCGATGGCTTCAAGCTGTTTGAATGCATGGCCATTGCTCTCTACAGTGAGTTAGATCATCTTGGCGTGATATAGAGCTGACGACCCTTCATCAGTCACTTCTCAAAACGAACAGACCACTCTTCTCGGAAAGAACAAGAAGGAATACGCAGAGATCATTAAGTGGATGTCTTTTTTCAACACCGAGATAGTCATTCTCATGACTCAACAATTACTGCCCCAGCTGGGTGTGATTCCGTACGACAAAGACCAGGTGGACTTGTTCGCCAACATGACCCAACGATCCGTCGATGTGGTCGAGGAGTATTTGCAAGGCCGCAAACTCCTTGTTGGCGAGCAGCTATCCCTTGCCGATCTGTTCTGTGCTGGAAACATTTCGCTTGGCTTCCAATTCTTCTACGGCAAAGCCTGGAGGCAACAGAACCCAAACGTGTCTCGCTGGTACGAGATGGCTTGCCATCAGCCCATCTATGCGGCTGTGACCGACAAGTTTCAGCTTCTGGATGAGCCCAAGCCGACCAACAATCCGCCTGAAAAGAAGCCTGACACAGTCCCCGAGCACGGTGCTGCTGTTGCTGTTGAGGCTACGCAGGCTTAGGCAGATTCGTTCCTCTGAATATCCTTCCAACACATTCCCAATGAAATTATTAGACAATCTGCTCCAATCGCAACGACCATGTAGGACACATGGTCGACACTTGCGTAGGCTTTGAGCACTTCAGGCAAATCTTGACGCTGAATCACATCCCGTAACCCCGTAGCACCTGCAGCAATGACGATTTGGAGCTGGACATTCGGTGCATCCTTTGGAATTAATGACTTGAGAAACCACCGGAGAATATCACGTCCATGAATGCGAGAAACAAGGCGCTGGCTAGTGCTTAGGGGAACATGAGAATCGACATGGCCACTGATACTTGAGCTTGTGGCAACGTGTTTTGAACCGCAATGAGTGGCGGATTCAGAATGTTAGTTTGGGTCTGCAAAGAAGGAAAACCGTACCGTTTGTAATCCAGACCCTGACCCTGCCCGAGAATGATTTGATATCCCAACCATTTCCCCGTTAGGGTTTAGAGAATGTACCTTGGTGTTGAAATTGGCGTAGATTCTCCCAGTGAGGGGTTGCAAGCAGGCGCTAGATGATCAGGCCGCGTCAGAATGTGAATAGTAATGAAAGACATACCAGGTAATTTGGTACGAGCTACCATACCATCCCAAATCTTCAAGGGTGGAAGTGAGTCGTTATCGATGGGATGGCCTACACTTTGTCAGGAAGGCCCTGTCTGGGTTGAGACAACTTACATTGACAATGACTGCAGTATCAAGAAGTATCAAGAAACAAACCGGAGTGACTGCAGATACCACCATGATAGTGTCTTTCTTCATCTCGGGCCGGCCTGGCCTTACGTCCAAGTTCTCGGTGGGTAAATCTGCTTTGTACCCTGCAGTATATTCATGTAGGTGCGTATCGATAGTTACTGAGACTGGCGTATTGATGCCAACGGATGAATTCGGAAATACTGTCAGTCGACCGACCTGTGTAGGCACGAAAATCGTCCATAATGAACCATCTCGAGGGGCGGCGAAGGCAAGTAGAAGCGCCTGGAAGCAGGCCTCCAGCATGGCTGGGTGAAGTAGGCCTGATGTACTTGGTGCTTCATCAGTCGTCGGCGCGATGACGCCGCATGCATAGTCCATACGCCTCTCAGCAGAAGTTAAAGCTCGGAAAGGTCCCCTGTATCTCAGCCCTACTTCGCTGAGAGAATCATAGAATTGGTTGATATTCACAGGCCTCACCCCGCACGGCTTGGGTTGTCTGGAGGACAATAATTCTAACTCGTGGTCTGCGAAAGTCATGCGTAACCGTCCCTTGGCTACAGTGGCCCTTCTTTCGTCATGCGCGGCGCCCTTGTTGAGACTGAACTCGGCCTGGATGGAGTTAGCTCCATCATTACCAGATTCTATGGCGATCGAGGTCTCAATCTCCACTGAAGATGTTTCCAACAGGATCGGTCGTCCGATGGTAACGTCAGAGAGCTCGATGCTGTCTGCTTGTTTACCATTGCTGATATCCATGGCGGCCGCAAGGGTCATCACGCAAACCATAGACGTAGGGATAACGGTTTGATTATTTATGTGGTAATCCCCTAGACACGGCAAGTCTTCTAACTTGAAGACGCGCCGCCATCTTGGCTCACATTCTGTAACACCCGGGACTAGGCTCCCCAACAGCTCGTTAGGCAGTTCTAGCATGACTGGTTTAAAAGCAGAGAAGAAGGTATACTCCCACTCCACGAGAAGTGTCAGGTTCAATAAGTTGTAAGTTCTGGAAATGGCAATATTGGAAAGGTTTCGGACGGAGAGGACCAAAGCTACCTGGGGAATTCGACAGCTGTCTGTAATTCGTCTTCGGACCAATTCGGTGGACTTAGAGACCTTCAGACTCTACCTGCAGTAACTACAGTGAGGCCAGCGATCAATGCTACAATAACACGCTAGGAACGTCACATCAAGCAGCTCCTACGGATACATCCACGGGTAAACCGATTCTTATTGATTCTTCCAGATCCCGACAGTGACTATTATTTCAAACTGCCCCAGTAGACTGATATATCCCTACATGCACACTTTCTTCCTCCATACTATGCTCAAGCGCTAACCGCAGTTATATCCTGTTTCGAAGGGTATTTCTGAGCCATATAAGTCAGATCGCCCTTCACGACGTATCCAATATGGCTTAGTGCGAGCAGTTCCTTCATCTGCGGACTAAGCGTCTCTTGAAGCTCCTTTGGCAGCTTTGCGGACCAGTTTGTCAGAGGCCGCATGTGAGGCGCAGAATAATAGGCAAAGAGAATGGCTCGATCCTCATCCTTAGTAACGTTGGAACCAGAGGTGTGCCATAGGCGCCCGTCAATAACGACAATGTCTCCCGCATCCGCTTCAAACGGGACCAGCAGATCCGGTGCGTTATCGGGCACGTCCTCCCAGGTGGTCCACTTGTTTGAACCTGGGATATACAAGGTCGCACCGTTCTCCTCGGTCATCCGCGTCAGGCACCAGATCACGTTGACTGCCCAGATATCCAACCACGGCGCTGGAAGAACGATGCTCTGGTCCGAGTGCAGAGCCATGCTCTCCGCGCCGGGACGAGCAATATTGGCAGAGAAGTTGCTGACCAGCAGCTGTTCGCCCAGCAGGGACTTGGCCAGGTCTAACCCGGTCGGGTTGACGAGCATGTCGCGCCAGTATGCGTCCAACTCGGGGAGATAAAAGACGCGCACGTTCGCGGGGTTGGGATCCAAGATAGGCTGGAAAGTGCCCTCGCCACGAGCCTCAGAGGCAGCTTTCGCCTGCCAGAGACGGTCGAGTGCATCCTCAGCTTCATCCTTGGAGAGGACGGCAGGGATCTTGACCCAGCCATGCTCTTTTAGATGAGCCTTGGCGTCTCCCATGTTTAGCGTCATGTCTCGAACAAGGTCCCTAGCTTGTTGGTAGTTTAAGGGTGCATTCTCGCTCTTGATCCTAGGGCTCAAGAGCGCTCACTGACTAGCTAATAGTGCCTTCGAGTCTACCCACCATTTCGGCAAGTGACATGTAGGGTTCGGTATAATCGGTCGGCCACAAGAGGAAACAGGACCGAAGACTCCGAAGACGTAGCGCTAGAATACTAGGAATACATCTATCCTGTAGACGACTTTTGGAAAGGGGAGTCAATTTGAGTTGGATTGATGAATCTCCTGATAGATACAGTGTGGGTGCCATGAGGCTTTATAACCCTCACAGTAATAATAGTAGCAGGACTTACTGCTTGAGTAGGTAATCAGTATATAGTTACCACTGTATCAGTTCAGATGGATCTATCAAATCTTAATAGATTGGATAAGACCCTGAAACACCACAGTAACAACGGTGTGGGGTTTCCCACTACTTAGACGAAACCCAGAGATATATATTTTCCGCCTCGCAAACAGATTGGGGTGGGTTCCATGATAACATAGCAAATAAATATTAAAACTGTCTTAAAACTACATATCCATAAATAGGCGCCGTGGTTGAAATGTGGTAGGTGAAATATGGCCTTCAGTATACTGTATACCTAGATTGGTCCCGCTTCCTTTTAATTTGGCAGAGTGAGGTTGGCTTCGAGGCAGCAATATTATATATTATATATACCTATTGCGCTAACCTTATAATTCTCTACCAATGATGATCAACTCTACTGTTGGATCTAGTCGACCCCGCTGGTCAGATCAGGCCATCTGCCTGTATAGTGGGCCGCCCCAGATACCACTTACCATCGGGATAGGATTGTAAATATCACCTAATCATGCACTTCTTTTGCATCTTGTCAGACAAACGCAGCGCTAATGCAGTGAGACAAACTAACTCTGCTCATTGCAACCTAAGCGACAAGCCAAGAAGAGGAACCGCCTTGCTCTAGACTGAAGCATTCCTCCGCGTCATGAGTCGCGCGAGTAAGCCAGCCGCTTAGACCCGGTGATAAACTCCAGACTGAAGCTGCCGATTCCACGAGACCATCGGAGCCTGTGGATCAGTGCAAGCCAATTGGTCCTGCAGGAAGATAAGATTGGAATCAAACCATAAATTCCTAGAAGATTATGCTCGCGATCACCATCGGCCATAACCTAAAATCTGACTGTACTCGACCCTTCTCCACTATCTGCTGGACTGAAGTGTGCGCAATCCGCCAGTGGTAACAAAGCCTTCAAGGCCGTACTTTTGACTAGTTTCTGTAGAAGCATTCACACAATTGCCGTCAACAGGAAGCGACTGAGCTGTATGGCGACGGAAAAGAGAGTGGGATGGTCGTCTAACTTAGTGGGAAACCCAAACGATGGGCCGTGGTGGGGGTTTGAAACACATACATACTTCGCCTGCCAGAAAAATATACAAATCCGGGGTCAGACACCAAGGTCCCTGAATTGCTCGGCGTGATAGTGTTTGTGCTGCTATATTTCCTTTTCAGTTCGACGTCTGTGCACGACTCCAAGAGCTGTAGTCTCATCCAGAGCCAACCGCGGGATGAACATGCTTGTCCAGGACTTGGGTTTCTCTCATCGAGCCTGCGACCGGTGCCATGGCCAAAAGTTGCGTTGTCGACGAGAGAATAATAGCGAGAGAATAATAGCGACACATGTGTGCGCTGTGCCAGGGCAGGCGTGCGGTGCACTCCACGGCCCATGAGACTGCGGTCCCGAGCCCAATCCACCAAGAATACTCAGCAGCAGCAGTCTCAACCCCATGCCAATGGTGATAGTACACGACAGCATCATGGTAAGCGTGCAATGTATGACAGTGACGCAGGTGAGTGATGTGAGGCTTACTAGAAGTCACAGTCAATCAAGAACAAGGCCCGAATGATACCAACGACGAGCATTCAGACCACTTCGATTATCTGCCGACGAGTTTGCTGGATATGCCGACCGACTTGAATCTTGGAATGGATCCTTCCTCGTTACAAGCCGATATCCATCCTGCACTGACGGGTCCATACGGTCCCGGAGGCAGTCTCCACACGAGTCAACCGTCATGCCCTCAACCATCGTCTCATCTGAGGACTGCTGAACAAGCGGGACAGACACGCTGGAGGGACGCTCCCAATCCAGATACGTCTGACGACTTGTACGACTTCTCCTTACCTGCTACGATGCGCTCCTCCTTCCCCCCGACCTATCACAGACATCGTGGTCAAGAACTGGATCCTTGCGGTGGCACTGGAAGAGAAATCCGAGGCACGAGAAACAAAGTATATGATTCGCACTCTCGGTTTGACATTTGAAATTACATGTACAGCTCTCCTGTTTGGATGGATCAGTATCTCGGTGTCGGCCAAATGTGCCCAGACCTAGACCAACGCCGTTGCCGAACAAGAAGCAGATATTGTCTCCTCGATGCCACCCGTCTCATACATGGCCGAGTACACGGTATACCTCAGGATTCGAGGACGCCGAATCGGACCCCAATACGGAATCATCGCCGAATATGACAAGGTCAGGCAGCATAAAGTCTTTTAGCAAGCGTTACCTGCAAACTGTGGGTCTCTACGCCTTTGCGATCAGCGGACTATGTCGTTATCAAGGAGACTTCTCTCCCAAGCGATATTGCATGTCCCGTCTGCCATGAAGGGTCATTGCATGATGAGATTGCCCCGGTAGTCTCGGCGTAAATGAGTGTAGCGCTAGCAATCATTTGCTGTTATTAAAGTCGAAAGGTCAAGCTTCTGCCTGACATTCGTTCGATCGCTATTAGGGATTCTGAGTTGCAACCTGCGACAGTTCCATGATGACCTCTGTATTCGGCTCGAACAATGATGTCTCACAACTGGGAACAGCCCTGCTCCGCATCTCCCCACTGGTCATATCGTCCGCATCCTTGATGTTCAGCTGGTCGCAGGACATCTCTCTTGGGGCATTCTTACACCCCTCCTTACGGCACGACGCAGCCCACCCGAGTGGCAAACTCCTCCCTCGATACCTGCCCGCTTTCATGAGTCCTGGGATCTGGGGTATCGGCTTGACCTACCCCCCTGCCACCGTCCTTTGTGTTATCAATGGGTTGAGCCGTCAGAGTCAGGAGGCTCGCAACCTATACTTTGCCGGCGCGCTGTTTAGTATCGCTCACTTTTGCTGGGGGCCGACCATGTTTGCTATCCTCGGCCGTATTGGCGATGTGAAGACTGCCAGAGTCCGAAATGAGGACGCGCTCCAGGAATGGCTGCCCAAACACCGCGCACGAACGCTGTTGGTGAATGTTCCAGCCTTTCTTTGCATCTTGGCCGCCACCTTGAAATCTCGCTGCTAAGTCGGGTTGAGCCGCTCGATGATTGTCTCCATCTTGATTGAGTATGATACATGTATGTGCTCTGTATTGTCTGTGTATTGTGATTGAATCATACGTATAATATCAGCAAAGGCTAGTGTGTGACGTGTCTTTGGCTGTTCGAATTTCAAACTAGCCTGAACTAGTCCATAAGCAATATACACATCAACAATCCATGAGAGAGGTAACTATCACCTGGTAATTAAGGCTGGATCATTCTTCGTAGACTGAAACGTATTAAGTGATATCAATTTAACTATTTTGTAAGGAGTTAGTAAAGCTAGTTATAAAAGTTCAAAATTACTATGAAATGTGAAATAAATCTTTGAAATAAACTGAAATTAGGGTATTTTATATTTGTTTGTATGTGGATGCATGCCCCACTCTTTGTTACCCGAAACTTTGTACCTTAACAGAGGCATGACTGTATCCACCTAATACCTTAGGTACTTTGGGGTATCCTATAATCTCTCTTCCTTATTTTACTGCACTTTAAGTGCATGTTACAGTCCTACAATAGTTGTACCCTTGACCGCCTTCTTGCCCTATTTGTGGGCTCCGAATTAGCTCTGCTTATGTAATATGCGATGTAAATAAACCAAAATGTAGGTCAGGTGGTCTTTGTCACGTGCCAGTAATTATGGCCTGTCCATACCTTAGTCAGTTTCTGTAATGAGCGGTAACCTGTCAACTTACATTTCATACCCATCTCTCACTCTCAACAAACTCTCCTCTTTCCGTGTCATCGTCGTCATCGTGTGATTTCAATTTGACAATAAGAGGTCTTCCATTTTCTTCTTGGACTCTCCAGAATATACGATCTTGATTACCGCGGTGATGACCGACTCCGATCCCAAGAAAAAGTGCTGCGGGACTGATTGCGACAATGAAGCGGGGACCTTACAATGTCCGACGTGTCTGAAGCTCGGTGTCAAAGGCAGTTACTTCTGCTCTCAAGAGTGCTTCAAAAAGAACTGGGTGGGCGACATCTATGTGGACATCCTATCGCTGAGCAACTGAGATTGATTGTATCCAGACCACACACAAGGCGCTGATGCACAAAACACAAAATGGTAACCACGTCTCTCGGGCGGCACACAACTCAAAGACTGGTTCGCTAATCGCGCCACAGCTACCGGACTTTACAACCCCTTTCCGACATACCCATTCACTGGCTCGGTCAGACCCGTATACCCACTCTCCCCGCGACGATCCGTCCCAAAATCCATCAAGCGTCCCGACTGGGCCGAGACTGGCATCCCAAGGCGTGAGATGCGCTTGAGCAGGTCAAAATGGGACCTCTTGGATGCAAAGGGTCAGCAGGCCATGCGCAAGGTGTGCAGGTTGGCTCGCGAAGTCCTCGACATCACGGCCGCGGCGGTGAAGCCCGGCGTGACCACCGATTATCTCGATGAAATCTGCCATAATGCTTGTATCGAGCGAGATGTAAGTACCGTTCACTCTTGCCTGAACATGTCGAGTTGTTTGCTGAAATAGGAGGCAGTCATATCCTTCTCCACTTAACTACAACCACTTTCCCAAGTCGATATGTACTTCTCCGAATGAGGTTGTATGCCACGGCATTCCTGATCAGCGAGTGCTTCTTGATGGCGACATTCTCAACCTCGACGTTTCACTGTACCACGGTGGATATCATGCCGACTTGAACGAGACCTACTATGTTGGTGACAAGGCCAAAGCGGATCCTGACTCGGTTAGACTCGTTGAAACGACGCGAGAGGCCTTGGACATGGCCATTGAGATCGTCAAACCAGGTGTCCCGATTCGAGAGTTTGGCAAGATCATTGAGAAACACGCAACTTCGAGAGGCCTTGTCGTCATTAAGACTTGGGGCGGCCACGGTATCAACTCGGAATTCCACCCTCCTCCTTGGATCCCCCACTACGCAAAGAACAAGGCTGTGGGAACATGCAAACCTGGGATGACCTTCACCATTGAACCGATCCTCGCGTTGGGTGGCAACCGAGAAAAGTATTGGCCAGATGACTGGACAAACGTTACGGTGGATGGCAAGCGGACAGCACAATTCGGTACGTATGGACCTTTCAGTTGCAGGCTCTACATACTAACGTGGACATGATAGAACATACCCTACTTGTTACGGAGACAGGCGTCGAGGTTTTGACGGCGAGACTGGAGAACTCTCCAGGGGGGCCAATCCCCATACCGGAGGTTGCCAACGGAAAGGCCAACGGAGATGCAAATGGAGATGCAAATGGAGATGCAAATGGAGATGCAAATGGAGATGCAAATGGAGATGCAAATGGAGAAGTAAAAAATTAAGGGTATGGTAGTGGAGAGCGGGCAAAGGGGGTACTGGATAAGGGTCATTCGCCCGGCAGATGCACGAAACTCGTGTATCTCAAGCGGCGCAACTTTCTTCAATGGGGAAGGGCTTTCCCCGCGCTTCAATCATCTTTACCCAACCTTGCTTTAAAAGACTTCAAACCAGGTGTATCGGCACTGACCAGTGTCCCCATCCACTCCCCTGTGTCGTCTTTCCGACTATTGACCTTCACCTCGCCTCTTCCAAGTAGAATTGGATGGCAATTTACATACATGCTCTCATATCCGCCATCCTTCGTGATAAATGTCTCATGAAAGATACCCACATGGCCAGGGTGATGCTGGTTATAGTACGCCCAAGTCTCCTTATGTAGCGGTTCGTGGGCAAATTTGTGAATACTTTCCACGTCTTTGAAGAAATACTTTATCAGCGTGGTGTTATTGGAGTTGCGCTCGCTGCCTCTCCAATTCTGAACCGCCAGCAGGCCGAGCTCATCCTTACGGCGGAGTATACCCTGCTGCATGGCCATGAACTTGTTCGAGATTTCGAGCATGTGCGGCGCAAAGATCCCCAGGGGGTGATTGTATTGTATTCCAAGGTGGAACACTACCACGGAGCCCTTCCCTGGCTCGGGGCCGTATTTTCCATCTTTACCTGGGATCTGCGCGGTGGTTCTTCCGCGAATGACATCGGCCATGAAAGGATTCGTTTTCGGTTGGAAGCAGTTTTGGATCGTGCTGAGAACGGATATGAGGAGGACAGTTGCACATGGGATGGCGGCGTAGCGGAGGGGGAGGATGGCGCAGAGGATGGTCTGCAGGAGAGCACCGATGCAAAGGAGCGTGCCGAGACTAAATTGATTGGGGAGGACGAACTGTTGATGATGACATTAGCGGTTGCTTTATTAGATCCTAATGCCGGATGGTTGAGGAGGGGCTTACGGAGATGGCAGAAGCCGTAAGATGTCGACGTGGTTGTTCTGTGGGTGAGAGAAGGGGCTTCATAGACTGATCCATTGTCAAATTTGTGCGAGTTGGAAAGAAAGGAATTAGTATTCACAAGAGGTTGACAGAATATATGCATCCTGAAAGCTGATGCATTGTTGCCTAGAAGATCTTGTAGTCAGAAGAGAAGACCACCGTTGCCTTAGTGTGATATTCTAGCCATATTATTATATGTTTGGATGGTGGAGTAATTAATACAAAGTTTCTACTTGATATATTCCCTGTCAAACAGCTAACCAGGGTCAGGGCCTAGAATATATCCTTGGTATCCACACGAATACTACAGTAGTCTTCTCCCGTCACTGCTTCTTTGCTGTCGCCCCTCCAGCCCCGCCTTTAGCTGTTGTCCCCTCTACGGAGTACTCCGTGCGTACTAGACTACGCTGTACGTACTCAGAAAACGCTCTTCGCTTTTCTTCGGTATTGTTGTGCTTGGCCAATTTACATACCGTTTGGTCCCCCACAGATTCGCGACCGTCCCCTTCTCTCCTTGTTTCCTCCTTTGCTAGACATGACTATCGACGCCCCAGAGCTTCTCGAGAAGCTGAAAATCAGCGGTAAGAGTCTAAGCATCGGATACTCAACATATACGATGACACAAGCTAATACTTGATTTTAACTCACAGATGCTGATGCTAATGGAGCCGACATCCCTGGTTCTACTTCCGCCGCAGCAAACGGGATGTTAAAGGAAGACGACGACTCGGACGACGATGTCGCTGAAAATACCCCAGCAGTAGCTGCCGAGAACGGCACTGCTAAGAAAAAGAAGAACAAAAAGAGGAAGCCCAAGAAGAAGCAACCGAAGGTCCAGACCGATCCGCCATCGATTCCCCTATCGCAGCTATTTCCGAACAACACCTACCCCAAGGGCGAAGAGGTGGAATACAAGGACGAGAATCGGTATCGAACCACCAGCGAAGAGAAACGTCACCTCGACAACCTGAATAGCGACTTCCTCTCTGATTACCGTCAAGCCGCCGAGGCACATCGTCAAGTCCGTCAGTGGGCGCAGAGGAACATCAAGCCAGGTCAAACGCTGCTGGAGATTGCTAATGGCATCGAGGATAGTGCGCGACGTCTGGTGGGTCATGACGGCTTAACGGAAGGGGACTCTTTGATAGCCGGCATGGGATTCCCCACTGGGTTGAACATTGATAACATTGTCGCCCACTACAGCCCCAACGCCGGATGTAAGACCGTGCTTGCGCAGAACAATGTACTCAAGGTCGATATTGGCATTCATGTAGGCGGTCGGATTGTCGACAGTGCCTTCACAATGGCGTTCGATCCTATGTATGATAACCTACTCGCTGCTGTCAAGGACGCAACCAACACTGGGGTGCGCGAAGCGGGCATCGATGTTCGGGTGGGAGAATTAGGCGGCTACATTCAGGAGGCGATGGAAAGCTACGAGTGTGAAATCAACGGCAAGACTCACCCGATCAAGGCCATTCGCAACCTGTGTGGCCACACGATCCTGCCGTACTCCATCCATGGTACCAAGAGTGTCCCCTTTATCAAGTCGAACGACATGACAAAGATGGAAGAAGGGGACGTCTTTGCCATCGAAACATTTGGCAGTACCGGCAGTGGCCGATACGTCGAAGGAGGCGAGGTCTCCCATTACGCCCTGCGCGGTGACGCGAACAGAAAAGACTTGACTTTGTCTTCGGCCCGGTCCCTCTTGACAGCGATCAAGAAGAACTTTAGCACGATCCCTTTCTGCCGGCGCTATCTGGACAGGATTGGACAAGAGAAGTATCTCCTCGGTGTATGACTTTCATTACGAACAAGCAATAATTAGGCCTTCAGCTAACACGGAATAGCTGAATTACCTAGTAAAATCCGGAATTGTGGAAGACTATCCCCCTCTGAATGAGAAGCAAGGGACTTATACGGCCCAGTTTGAACACGTAAGTCAGGCTGACTTTCTCGAGAAGAATAGCTCCTAATGATAGAAAAAGACCATTCTGCTTCGACCAACCGTCAAAGAGGTCATTAGTCGTGGCGACGACTACTAGACATATTCGAGACTGGTGGTTTTCATTTCGGAGGGCATTCATGGTTCATAGATTGACACATAAGGCATGGCGAATAGAAAAAGATTACCCGATGTTTTCCTCCGTTCTAGTCTTGTATGAATTCCGTCCTCAACCTGTAATAGCTGCAATAGTGGAAGTGAACAATTTCGGCCGTCTGAATACGCACCTCCCGATATTCGGGCGGATCGACCTTCGGTTTAGGGAAATTGTATTTTCGGTGTTGCATACTGCTTATGTCCCGCCTAGCAGGGAACAGAGCGATATGCGCCGGATCGAACTGCTATTGTAGTTGTGCATCTGCTTATACTACAGGACGGGTTTATTTACACATAGCATCCATAAGCTTGCTGACGGTGTTGTGACCCAGTTTTAGACAGTACTATCTGGCTACATTGGCAAGCATTGACATCTCTTTCAACCCTGTCTATCCTGACACCAAACACTCCTACCATGGCCGGCATTGCAGAACAGTTAATCGACAAGCTCAACACCTTTGAGACGAGCATCTTTGAAGGCCAGGATGCCACGCGACAGAAGCTGGCTCTGGCGGCCCGCAAACTCTTCCACACGCTGGAAACAAAAGAAAAAAGACCATGCGACTCGCTATAGAGGAACCGATTACGTCTCTGTGCTCCAAGCCCTCATTGATGTTGGTCTGTTTGAAGGCTGGGCTGCTGCCGGTGGCGGCGAGAAAGATGTGAACGAGTTGGCCAAACTCAGCAAGAAAGATACGGAACCCGAGCTATTATGTAGGTTTCACTATGCTGCAGTGTCATGGAACGTGTATACTGATAATTTGCAGGTCATCAACTACGACTGATGGCTGCCAACCACATTATTCTGGAAACGGCAAACGATCGCTATATACCTACGCCGTATTCCCTGGCCATCGGAGACAAGAGCACTCAGGTTGCCCCAGCTCTTCGCATCAGGTAAGCTGCACCATTTATGCACGGTGTAGATAGCGAAGTTAGAAATTACTAACGAGCAATGATTAGAACTGATCACGTCGCACCATGTGCCATGCACTGGCCCGATTTCCTGGCCAAGACCAACTACCGGAAGCCGCGGGACGACAAGGCTAGTTGTTACATTGATACTTTCCCTGAAAAGAAGAGCTTTTTCGAGCGTTGTAGCGCGAACGCCGTGCACCAGGAGAGTTTCTCATCCTTTATGGATGTGTGGGCCAAAGGAAAGAGACCTTGGCCGGAGTTCTACGACACCCAAGCACTGCTTGATGGCGCCGACCTCAGCAATGGTAGCCCTTTCGTTGTGGACGTTGGCGGACACCACGGCATCGGTTTGATGCGCGTGGCTGAGAAGCACCCCGATCTCCCCGCCGGGTCCCTCGTGCTCGAGGACCTACCAGAAGTTGTCGGTGCTGTCAACCTTACCACGGACAAGATCAGAACTGTGGCACATGATCTCTTTGAGGGCGCTGACCAGCCCATTAAAGGTAGGACGCCTGGTCTGCTGCTAGTACAGTGCCTAGGAGACTAACGGAAATGTGTAGGAGCTCGAGCGTATTTTATGCATGCCGTCCTGCATGACTGGTCGGATGAGACATCCGTCAAGATTCTTAAACAGATTGCCGCTGTCATGAAGCCCGGCTACTCAAAGGTGCTTATCAATGACATTGTGATCCCATCTACAGGTGCCAGTTGCTATCAAGCGGCCATGGACTGTCTTGTGTTGCAGGCTTCAGCTAATGAAAGAACCGAAGCCGTGTGGAGCAAGGTGATCGAGGATGCTGGTCTCAAGCTGGTCAAGTATTACCCTGATGGTCGTGGCTACGAGAGCGTGATTGAGGCAGAGTTGCCATAGCTGAGCTTTATACTTGCATCTAGAAGATATCCAGCGTTTCACGTCCCTTCAATGCGTACTCCCTCGCTCCGTATAGACATTAAGGAATTGCAAATACATTCCATCCAAGAATAAGACCATGACGCTGCACTAACTTTGAGGCTATACTTGCCGCAAGTAGTATTGTTCGGTATACTGAATTGATCTATCAAATATGGTTATAAAATCTAAAAGTCGAGGTATTTCTTCATAAAGTCAAGCTGCCTTTGCAGGACTTCTTCTGCCCCCTCTCCGTTAATGACATCCATATGACCTCTGCCAGCTACTAGATCGAACTCCTTTTTTGGCTCCGGAATTATGTCGAATACGGCTCTCTGATCCGCAGGCGACGAGATGGTGTCCTCGGCGGGAGTGACCATCATGACTGGCGTCCCTTTAATGAGGCGCATCGCTCCGTACGGCTGCCACGCCAGCACATGGTAGTAACTCTGCACGGTCGTCTGGTTGGTAAAGAACGAGGTACCGAGGAATGCTCGGAATTGCTCCATGTTGTACTGATTGCCCCAACCAGCTGGGTTGTAGCCATCGTCCCCCACAAACGGAATGTATACCGGGTCATTGCCCGCGATAGTGGAGACACGATCCTGCATTGCCAACGCCATGACGTTGTTCTTTTCCTTCTCTCTAAAGTCGTAGTTGGCAATTGGTGTCACCGAGATGGCTGCTCCAACACGGTGGTCGAGACCAGCCGCAACAAGCGCCGTCATCGCACTAAATGAGTAGCCATAGAGAGTGATCTTGTCCTCATCTACCATGGGATGACGAGCCATGAAGGTCAGAGCATCGTGAAAGTCCTCCACCAGCTTGGCAGGCTTGACATCATTGCGCGGTTCGCCATCACTGGCACCAATGCAACGATTATCATACAAGAGTACCGTTACTCCCTGTTGCTGGAACCAGAGGGCAACATCCGGTAATAGGATCTCCTTTGGGGTGTTGAACTGGAAATAATCAGTCTACGAGTAAAGACGCAATCAAATCCAACGTACTCCTTGATTCATGACAATGGCTGGCCCACGAATTGTCCCTGGGCAAAGCCAGCCTCGCAGTGTCAACCCATCAAAGGTCGGAAACTCGACATCCTCGCGATCCATTGTAGAGAGTTGTGTTCCCAAGGTTATATCCAACAAAATGTTTAGAATGTATACAGGAATATGCAATAGTGACAAACCGCTCAGTCATTTTCATATCAACACCATACTGTAATCCGAACATAGCCTGGTTTCGGTATTGGACTCGGTAACCGACCTACCAGACACCAATTGATGTAGGTAAGATTTCGGTGCCGATTGCCAGAGCCATACGCCGATCCGACGACACGGGGGACAAATGACATATCGGTAATAGGAAGTTTATACTCCAGAATCCTTACCGTGCGGCTTCGGTTAATGTACGTCCTGTTCACCTAAGAGGTTATCGTCTAAATGAGGATCGGCTTAGCGAGGTTCTACTGTACTACCCTCCTTTCTAGCCCCATATTCAGGTCAGCACAGCCTTAGACCTACGTGATGGGATGTGAGATATTCGAAAGGATTGAGAGCCTACTCGCTGTTTGTTTCGTTCTCATCGAGACCATTCTCGAACCATTCTCCCCTTTTCCCTCCGTACCACATACACAAGATGATCCTCACGAACGGCAATAAGCGCATCCAAGATGCCCCAGAACCTATCGCGATCGTTTCTGCGGCGTGTCGATTACCGGGGCATGTGAACAGTCCGCACAAGCTATGGGAACTTCTTCAGTCTGGCGGCATTGCCGTTTCCAATGAGGTGCCCAAATCTCGTTTTAGTTCAGAGGGCCATTTCGACGGGTCAGGCAGGCCCGGCACCATGAAAGCCCTGAGCGGCATGTTCATCGAGGATATCGATCCTGCCGCCTCTGATGCTTCCTTTTTCAACCTCACCCGGGCTGACGCTATTGCCATGGAACCCCAGCAGCGCCAGCTGCTTGAAGTAGTATACGAGTGCTTCGAGAATGGTGGTATACAGATTGAGAAAGTGAGTGGGAAACAAATAGGATGCTATGTTGGCAGTCTGAACGGCGGTAAGAGTCTCTGGATATCTCGATAGTCAGTTGCAAACATAAGCCGGATTCTAATTTACGCAGATTACCACGACATGCAGATGCGAGACCCTGAGCAAAGGATGTCGGGTCATGCGGTTGGCACGGGTCGTGCCATACTGAGTAACAGAATTAGCCACTTCTTCAACCTACAAGGATCTAGGTGAGTTTCCAAGACACTCGATTGTCTCTTTGACAGTAACTGATATCGACTCCATCTAGTTTCACAATTGATATAGCGTGCTCTAGCGGCCTTGTGGGAGTAGACGTAGCCTGCAAGAATCTACGCGCGGGGACACTGACCGGAGCAGTCGTGGCAGGTGTCAATCTGTGGCTATCGCCGGAACACACTGAAGAAAGGGGCACTATGCGGGCAGCGTACTCGGCTAGTGGCAAGTGTCACACCTTCGATGCTAAGGTTGATGGTTACTGCCGAGCGGAGGCTGTTAATGCTGTGTACCTGAAGCGTCTATCAGATGCTGTGAGGGACGGCGATCCTATCCGCGCATTGATTCGGGGGACAGCGAGTAATAGTGAAGGGTGGACTCCCGGGATCAACAGCCCTAGCTCCGAAGCGCAAGCGGCGATGATTCGCGAAGCTTATAGAAATGCTGGTATCGACAGCAGCGAGTACGCCGAGACGGGATACCTCGAGTGCCATGGAACTGGTACACCGGCGGGAGATCCTATTGAAGTCAAAGGCGCGGCGTCAGTGCTTGCTCACATGCGCCCAGAAGCGAACCCCTTGATTATCGGATCTGTAAAAAGCAACATTGGGCACTCGGAGCCAGGAGCAGGTCTCCCGGGTCTCATCAAGGCGATGCTGGCTGTCGAGGAGGGCAAAATCCCCGGAAATCCTACATTCTTCAACCCAAATCCTGCCATCGACTTCGATAACCTCCGGGTACATGCCACACGAATAAGTATTCCTTGGCCCAAAGAATCCAACCACTACAGACGTGCAAGCGTCAACTCTTTCGGCTTTGGAGGCTCCAATGCACATGCCGTACTAGACAACGCGGATCAGTACATTGCACAATATTTGACGTCGCTCGAGATACCCAGGCCTCACGTTAGCTCTCATATCAATATATCCGACATGCTGTCCTTGTTTGACGGACTGCGGTCATCCAAAACAGTCACTCAGCGCCAACAAAGAGTGGACATGCCAGTAAGATCGCAGTGGACGAGGCTCAGTTTTCCAAGACACCGCAAGAGGCAACAAGAACCGGCTTCGTTTTCACGGGCCAAGGCGCGCAGTGGTCACAAATGGGGCTGGAGCTAGTCAGAACATTCCCAGAGATAGCTAAGCCCGTCCTCGAGCAGCTGGACAGCGTGCTGCAGGAATTGCCAGGTGACCTCAAGCCAGAGTGGTCGCTGCTGCAAGAGCTAACGGAAGCTCGCTCGTCTGAGCATCTTAGCAAGCCGGAATTCTCCCAACCTCTCGTGACAGCGCTACAGCTGGCACAACTAGCGGTATTGCAGTCCTGGGATGTGCGAGCAGAAGCCGTTATAGGTCACTCTTCTGGTGAAATAGCAGCCGCGTGTAGCGCAGGACTCCTTACACCCAGGCAGGCTATTCTGAATGCGTATTTCAGAGGACTCGCAGGTAAAAGTGCTTTGGCAACTAGTCCGAAGGGCATGATGGCTGTGGGACTCGGTGCACAGGATGTCCAGCCGTACATTGAGGGCGTACGTACAGACGTGGTAATTGCTTGCTACAACAGCCCTGCTAGTGTCACTCTGTCCGGTTCTGCCTCCACATTAGCGGAGCTGGAAGGGACCATCAAGGCAGCTGGACACTTTGCCCGAATGTTGCGAGTTGAGGTGGCATACCACTCGCATCATATGACCAAGATAGCCAACCGCTACGAAGAGCTACTAAACGAGCACGGAAGGCTTGAAGATGGCAGCAAAAGCAAGAAGACCTCGAATCATATGATCTCAACTGTGACTGAGGATGAGGTTACTGGAGCTCAGGTCTGTAACGCTGCATATTGGAAAGCGAACATGCTGTCACCCGTCCGATTCGACGGGGCTTGCAACAAGATGTTAATAAACAAGAAACTTGCTCCCAATTTCCTCATAGAACTTGGGCCAAGCAACACGCTCGCAGGACCAGTCACCCAGATTGCCAAAGCAGCCAAGATTGACAACCTCACGTATGCTGCAGCGAATAAGCGTGGCCTCGAAGAGAGCGCCCGCGCAATTTTCGACGTTGCAGGCAACCTGTTCCTGCAGAATGCCGATTTCTCACTTGACAAGGTGAACATCCGCGACAATACACCAGATAAGGTGAAGCCCGCGCTGATCGTCGATCTTCCCAACTATCAGTGGAAGCATTCTACCCACTACTGGCACGAGAGTCTGGCCAGCAAAGACTGGAGGTTCAAGAAATTCCCGGCCCATGACTTGCTTGGTAGCAAAGTTCTCGGCACACTGTGGCAGAGCCCTTCCTGGCACAGAATGCTCCGTCTGTCCGATGTGCCTTGGCTGCGGGACCACCGGATTGGATCAGAGATACTCTTTCCCGCTGCTGGCTATCTTGCCATGGCCATGGAAGCTGTTCGCCAAACCGCCTTGTCGACTGCAACAGCTCAAGATCGAGATGTCCTGAAGACGAGAAAGTACCGTTACTGCCTTCGGGATGTACAATTTCCTCGAGGACTGGTGCTCGAGGATGATGTCGAAATCCACATCATGCTTTTACTAGTACCCATGGCAAAGCTAGGGCAGGGATGGTGGGAATACAAAATCACATCTCTAGCAGAATCGGGTTCAATAGCATCGTCATCAACGTCAACCTTGCCCCCGGAGAAATGAAACATTAACTCCACTGGATTGGTTCGACTAGAGATGAACCTAGATGCATCATCGTCTCGAGCACCAGAGGATATATGCAGCTTGCCTTTGGATAACCCGACACCTGGACAGATGTGGTACAAGTCTCTAAGCGACGCTGGATACTCTTATGGTCCCGACTTCCAGAAACTGGTAGCAGTCGAGGGCACGGAGGGAAAGTCAGCCTCGCGCTCTCTTATCTCTTTGGAACCGCCACGATCCAAGTGGGAGCCGCAGTCAGAATACCCACTGCACCCGGCTCCTCTGGATAGTGTTCTACAGAGCATGTTCCCCTCGCTTCATCGTGGAAATCGAACTAAACTAGACCAGCTACTCGTTCCCAGAGGAATCGGTGAACTAACCGTCTCTGGTCACACCTGGAAGTCCGGAGAGGCAGTATCTGTGACCACCTGGAACAATGTGTCGGGAGACGCGTATTTGTACGATCCTGCCAGTGGATCGCTAATTATGCAGCTCAACAGCGTGTCATTCTCTCCCATGTTGGATGGCCGAGAAAGTATTTACATGTCACATATTTATACCCAACTGAGGTGGAAGCCATATATCCAACTTTTGGATACAGATGAGAAGCTCCAACAAGCACTCCGCGGTGGTGATGGCACTGCTTCTTCCCATGTACAGGAGATTCTAGATTTGGCAGCTCACAAGGCGCCTAATTTGAGGGTTCTCGAGTTCAACCTCGCTCCCGGAAGTTTGGAATCCCTGTGGCTTGCCAGAGATCCAATACCGCGTCCTGTTCGCACTGCCCTTACTGAATTCCACTTTGCTGCCAACAGCGCTGATACTGCGCTCGCCGCCCAAGAGAAGTATGCAGAGTGGCCGGCGGCACGAATTGCTCGCTTCAGTGTGCTTGATCCTTTCAGCAAAACCTTTACTGTACCCGCAGGAAGGTCCAAGTTCGATCTTGTGATAATCAGGTGGTCTCAACATGAATACTCCGGCGAGCTCGAGACCCTCGCCGGCAACTTGCGCCGTCTTACTTCCGAGGGCGGCAGTGTAATATTCTGTGATCCCGAACAGTCCAGTCCCTCAGAAGGTCGAGGGCATGAGCACAACCATTTCCACGCTGCGCTGCAACGCTTTGGTCTCACTAAGGTTCGCCAGACGACGGATGGGAGTTGCATTGTCGCAGAGGTCAGCCCTGAACAGAATCCCTCACTGCACAATGACTCCAGAGTGGTTATTGTGCGTTTCTCAGCTGCGCGCTCCACTATTATCGACCACACCATTTCGCAGCTGCGACAATATGGCTGGGACTTGACTGAGATTTGCATCAATAATGAATCCGGCAATGGGGTTTCACAACTTCCCCCCAAATCAACGGTGCTCGTTCTCGACGAATTGGACCGGCCTTTGCTTGCCACAGCAACAGACCATGAATGGACAGCTCTCCAGGCGATAATACAGACAGAGTGTAACTTGCTTTGGGTGACGCAGGGCTCGCAAATCAAGCCTACTGCGCCGCTTAAGGCCGTCGCCCATGGTATTTTCCGTACTGTCCGCGCCGAGGTACCCAATTGTGACTCTGGACGTCGAATCAGCTACAACGGAGAGTTTGGGCACAAACGTGTCTGCCATCAATATGGCTCTGAGAGAGATAACTTTAGCGGACAGATCATCCCTCCCCATGGAGTGCGAGATTGCTCAAAGAGGTGGTCTGTTGCATGTCAGCCGGGTATGGCCGGATGCTGGAGTGAATCAACGCAAGGTGGAAGACAACGCAGGAGGGCCAACACCTGTGATAATCAATTTCCATGACTCAAAGGCTACCATTCGCTTGGTTACAAGCAGCCCTGGTAGTTTGGAGGCGCTACATTTCGCGGAGCAAGGTCTAGATGGCTCCAGTGGTCAAGATATGGGACCGGATGACGTTGAGATTGAGATATTCGCCTCTGGTTGCAACTCCAGAGATGCTGATGTGGCTAGGGTGCTGGCGTGGTCGTCCGCGTAGGCGACTCCGTCAGCACTCGCTATGTCGGTCAGCGCGTGGCAGTGTTTGGCAGAGGCTGCTTTGCCAACAGAGTGACCGTCTCATGCAAAGTTACCTTTCCTTTGCCTGATGCTATGTCGTTTGAGGAGGCTGCGACGCTACCAATCGCCTTTCTCACCGGTTTATACGCACTTGGTCAACTCGCACATGTACAGGGAGATGATCGCGTCTTGGTCCATTCAGCTTTTACTGATGTCGGGATCGCCTGCATCCGACTCTGCCAGCGTTCGGGTTATACTACCTTCGCGACGGTGGGCAGCCTGGAGCAACGCCATTTTCTGACTCAGGAGCTTGGACTACCGGAAGATCATATCTTCATGTCGGAGCCTGCAGCATTTCCTCGCGCTCTACACCACGCTACCAAGGGCCATGGACTTGACGTTATCATCAGTCAGCCTACGAATGGCAATCTGGACTATGAGAATGCGCGGTTACTTGCCCCTGCCGGACGACTTATCGGGATAACAAACGGAGGCGCCGATGTTGGCAGTTTGCTTATAACGGGATCTCTCGCTCCTAACTGTTCTTTCCAGAGGTTGGATATAACAGCTTTACCAGAGAGAACTATCGAATCGTAAGTAAATTGTTGGCGGAATATTGGCATATCCTCCATTGAGAGTGGAAACTCATATTTGCAGTGTGTTCTTGGAGCTGTCTCGGCTCGTTACAGATGGCAGAGTGCAGCCCCTATTACCAAGCACACTTTTGGGTTATGAAGAGATACCCAAGGCACTTCAACTTCTTCGAGAAGGTACCCACGTCGGAAAGATCGTTATTTCAGACAAGCATGGCACGAAGCTTGCTGTTCCGGTAAGAGTTCGAACATGACTTGAGCTGAGCCAGATTCTAACCTTTTTAGACCCGACCTGCAACGACCATGGCACAGAGTCTTATTAGCCCTGGCCACTGTTATCTCTTCGTGGGTGGTTTGAAAGGTATCTGTGGTAGTCTTGCCATCCATTTGGCCTCCCACGGGGCCAAGAACATCGCCGTCATGTCCCGCAGTGGTTCTGGAGACCAGGTATCCCAGAGCATCGCTCGAAACATCAGAGCACTGGGGTGTTCTCTTGACTTGCTTCAAGGCGATGTCACTTCTATCAGCGACGTCAGGCGGGCTTTTAGCCAAATCTCGGTTCCCGTTGGTGGAATCATCCAAGGAGCCGCCGTATTCAGAGTAAGACATCACTCTCGGAGCCATTCTTTTATTCGATCCGTTCTGACCTAGGAACAATCAGGATCGGACGTTTGAATCCATGTCTCACGCAGACTACCACGCCGCTTGTCGAGCAAGGTGACGGGCACATCCAATCTACATACAGTCTCCCTCGAAACAAAACAACCGATCTCATTCTTCACCATGCTGTCTTCCATTTCCGGCGTGATAGGCCAGAAGGGACAAGCCAACTACGCCGGTGGTAATGCATTCGAAGACGCCTTTGCAGAGTATCGCCGCGCATCGGGGTTGCCCGCCATTAGCATTGACCTCGGACCCATAGAAGACGTCGGCATCATTCACGGTAACGAAGACCTACAGAACCGGTTTGACGGAAGCACTCTGCTTAGCATCAATGAGGGTTTACTGCGCCGAATCTTCGACTACTCTATCCTTCAGCAACATCCAGATCCACATCACCGTCTGAACGTCACGAGCCAAGGCCAAATGATTACAAGTCTACTTGTTCCCCAGCCTGAAGACAGTGATCTGCTCAGAGATGTCCGCTTTAGGGGCTTGCGAGTCCTCGGAGAGGATAGTCCACGTTCACGACGGGACGCTAGCAAAGATAAAGAGATACAGAGCCTCTTGTTTCTGACCCAATCCCAGGATCCCGATCGTGCAGCCGTGCGCGCCGCAGCTATCACGGTTGTGGGTGCGCGGTTGGCAAAGCAGCTTCGCTTAACTGATGCGGTCGACTCGGCACGTCCCTTGTCTTACTACGGGTTAGACTCACTGGCGGCTGTAGAGCTACGGAACTGGGTGCGTATGACATTGGCGACAGAGCTCACCACATTGGATGTAATGAATGCGGCCAGCTTGGGAGAATTGTGTGATAAGGTCGTCGGGAAAATGGGAGTTGGCATGTAGTTGAAGGCATAAACGAATGTGGTTTGTAAATTAGGCCTTAGGATCCCAGAAAGCTAATTCTAGCACCATCACCTTTATAGCTGGCTCACTCTTAAATACAACGCTCAGGGATAAATAAGAGGCGTCCCGCGAAGACAGAGCAAGAGGTTTCTCTCGTTGACTCATCCCCTTGCTTTCCTCCAGTACTATACACGTATCCAAGAATCTATCCCTCCCTGTTCAATCGCAAAATCGTACCCTCCTCACTTAGTCCACAACACGGATGTACCTGTAGGGCTTGGCGGTGAAGCTGCCATTCTTCCAACCAACTGGGCGCTTATACTTGACGCAGCCGTAGGTGCCGCGGCATTCAAGGGTATTGTACTCCTTCTTGGAACTGTCGGCCCACGAAAGGAACAGAGTGACGTGGCCGGCGGCACCGCCAGTGCCGGGACCTAGGGTACCAACGAAGTCACCGGGCTTGAGATCATTCCATGAGATAGGCTTGGCAATCTCCGGGAGACTGACAGTGCTGAAGCCTGGCGAATTGGTATGGAGAGCCATGCTGACGAAGCCCGAGCAGTCTGTGCGGTATTTGCGGCCTTGAGGGTCCGGGTATACCTTGTTCATCGAGTAGGGGACGTGGCGTGAGACCCAGTACTGACCGCGGGAGATGATCTCCTTGCGGGTGATCTTGCCGTTGTAGGACGAATTGCCGTCAGGGGGGGTGCCACCACCACACTCCTTGGTGACCATGCTGTTTGAGCCCGTCTTGACGTAGAAGTCGGAAACGTAGCAGCCGTCAGTTGTCTTGTCCCAGATGGAGTTGCCCTGAACATTTTCGCCATAGGTCTGGCAAGAGAGCTTGACATCGTCCCCCTTGTGGTATGACTTGACAACCTTATCATTCGTCGAGGGACCGGCACGGCAGTTGACTTCATTGCCAGTAATGGGGTACCCGTTGACCATGGAGACGGCCGCAGCCAGGGTCAGAGCGACGAGTTTGAGCTGCATAATGGCGAATAGAGGCAATCAGGCGAACTCTGCGTAGGGGAGGGCTTTTGAGAAGTGTGTCCGTGTTTCTGAGGGTTGCGCTTCCTTTCGATGGCGCGTTTGTGGATGAGAGTCTGAAATGACACAGGTAATGGGAGGAAGTCTGGATGGCTTTATACCTGTAGTGAATACGGTGCGCATCAGGCCGGATCTCGATACCAAACTGTTCAACTAGTGCTTGGATCTTCGCCAGATGCTGATCTCGTTTCGATCGAACTCCACCAACACGAACATCGCCGAGGCAATTTTGTCCGAATCGAATGCTGAAACCTTCTTTACGGGAGTTGAGCAAGCCTTTCGCACCCACGCATGCACCGTAAACGACCGATATGGCCGAGATACGATTGATTCGTCTGAGCGGGTTGTCTCAGGACTCGAATCCTCGTCCGCAAGAGCTCGTAAATATGCTTCCCTTGTCGTATTTTCTTATTATATCCGACTAATACGACAAAGATCTCGTTCCCCTCGGGAATTTGAACCCTGCATCCACGTCCAAGAGGATACGGGAACGTCACACGGCTTGATCAATCCTACCTTGGGGCCAAATTGACCATCTATATCAAGCATCCGGCCGGATACGAATACGAAGTGGAGCCAGAGTTCCCCAGTACGTTACCAAAAATAGCCTGATTTTCATTCCGGCCGTGCTCTATACGACTCACATTGGTGATCTGCAGGGTTCTACTTCAAAATGAGGCTAGCCGATCTACAAAGAACACGATGTTGCTGCTTGGCAGGGGAATGAATCATGACAAACACCCCACTTCCGCATGAAAACATCAGTATTTGCATAGTCCAATGTGTTATGCATGGAATTAGCAAACTATGCATCACCCAAGACCACCATTCATTCTCTTGCTGGACAGTTGCGCTTCCAGGGAAATTGTCAAGGATTCTACCTACCATACCAGTAAGAAATCCATGTTCGCTACTCAAAATTCCAGTCGGCCTTGGACAGCCCCCATTCCTCGCACAGCGTCCCCAGCCATTTTGAAACGGAGACCAACTCCTCGCCTCCATTGTCAGTCTTCATGAGAACCAACCCTTCACAGGCACGGAAATACTTCTCCATCGTCCATGGCGGTAACTCATACCAGTCGTGTGTACTGCTGCATATAAAAGCGTTGTCTGCTTTGCCTGACCTCAGCTCGTCCCAGCAGCCATTGCAGAGGAACACATTGTAGCAATACTTGCAGGCATGAAGACCGCGGTCATAGTCCCAGTACCGATTGCAGGTATTGCAAGGGAGCAAGCAGTCAATCCCTCTCTCGAGTTTTGCAAGGATCTTTTGGACCCGATCTAAGCAAGCGGCCCTCTCGCTAAGAACATCTGCTTCGTATGCTAATCTGCTGACTTCTTTCCAGACCTTAGTAAAATTTTCCCAGTGCTTGTCTGTGTCTGGACACTCCCGGTGATAGAACCGGACTAGTTCCTCGCTGACTGCTTCCATAGAGGGCCCCTCTCGGGCAAGAAGCATTTTGAGGACTGTGTCATCGAACCGTAACTCCGGAAGCAGCAATGCAGCTCGCAGTGCATTTTCATAATCCCCAGTGCAGTTCAGAAGGGTACGAAGCGCCATGAATCCGTCTAAATCATTGAAGATGTTATCATCAGCCAGAATGTTGAATGCTTCTACTATATCGGCCCGGAAGATGTCACCAGCCTTGTCCCTCTGTCCCCTGAACGTGTACAGTGATGCAAGCGCCGACTTGGGGCCTTTGGCAGCAGGGTCATCCCTGTGAATCTGTCGTAATCTCTCCACGTCTGCCTCCGATTCCTCTCCGTCCGTTTGCATGGCCCGGTCGAGGCAGACCCTGCTGAGACGGTCAACCGCACTTTGTTTGACGAAATCAAGCCGATCTCGGTCTTCCGAAGCGACCTTCTGCCGAATGGTGTCCAAACACTCGCGCAGATCACCTGCGGCGTTGGCTAATTGCTCGGGAGAGTCCTTGTGGAGATAGTGTCTAGCACTGGCCAGCTGGAATAGCAGAATCGCAAGCTCCTCGTTCTTGCCTTCCGTCCGCGCAGTCTCAATTGCTACCTCCATCTCATGTTGGAAGACTGCCCGCAGTTCCGGGGAAGAAGAGACGACCGAAAAGACTGCGTTGAATATGGCCAACATGTCAATCTCGTTCTCCTTGCTCAGAGCTGTTGCCAGCATGGACATCAACAAGGTGGATTGCGTGCCTGGGACTCTCTCGGTAACAGCTTTCTGGATGATGGACCGCGCCTCGTCCTCATTTTTGCTGGCTATATATTTCTGGAGCATCGCACAGAGGATTTCCACGTCTTCTTCATCCTGCTTGGCGGCTTCTTTCAGATACTCCAAGGCACGTTCGGGGTCGGTCGCAAATTCACCGAGAGTTTTGAACACATCTCGCAGCTGCTCCTTGTTGATGGGGTCTTGAGCCTGGAGAATTGTGGCAGCCTGTCGTCCCAGGTTAGTACACTGCCGATTCTGCGCGGAGCGAGAGATTCTTCCCACCTTCTTGTACTGCTCGCTCGCAGCGTCATACTCGCGCACGTCAGCATAGGTATCACCTAATCGGATACACCATGTGTAGTCCACTTCGGTGACACCCAAGGACTGCTTGCACCACTGCTCAGCTTTGAGGATCTTTTCCAAGTCTGAATCGTTGTCATATATGATAATTCGCCCGTTTCCGTTGTCCGAGTTCTCCACCTGCTCGGCCACTCCGGTCTGATCCTCCTGCTGTGGTTCGGCGCCCTGCATTTGGAGATTGACAGGGGTCAGGCCCAGGAGCGATCAATGGGTCGACGACTACTTACCAAAGTCAGGAATCCCCTGATCCATCTGAATGCCTCGTAGGCGTGCCATTCGGTTTTCTGTAGCCAATTCCGAGCAACCATGGTCATGATCGGAGTCAATAGACTCGAGTTGCGATGTTCGAATTTCTTTAAATCTGCTAGCCATCGTTTGTCCCGAGGCCCTAGGCCAGCGATGGCCACAGGGTCATCCAACCACTCCCAGAAGATCTCCATCTCGTCATTACGCTCGTACCAGAGGACCGAGTAGCAGAATTCCCAATTCCGCTCGATGAGATCACCCTCGTTGAACATCTCGTAGACATGCGATCCAATGAACTGCTTATCTGCGGGCTGCAGCTCGTCCAGCCCAGTTACCTCAGACAGGGCCTTGAGATGGGTTGTGATGGAGCGCATCAGGTACGGACCCAGTGACTTGCCCCTTTCATCGACCACCGGTTGTAGAAAGATATCGAAGGCTCTTTTGACAACCTCGAGGTGAGCATCAGCTTCGTACACCTGGATCTTCCGCTGGCCTACGTTTGTCTGATCGGAAGCTGGCTGAAACGCAAATCCACCTAGGAAGGAGTAGTGGTTCAAGTCCCAGAAGAAGCGCTGGACTAACTTGAGATCTCCGTTGGTGATGCTGATCGTGGCCGTGATCTTCGGGTCATCCACGGACTGTCTGGGCCTGTCTCGTTGGGCAACAACGCAGTCTCGAACATGATCTTTCAATGCCAGGTATTTCCCGTAGATCAAGGTAAAGAGCTTGGAGTATTTTCCCGTGATCTTTTTGTCGAGTGGCTGGAGAGAGACGGTGTTGAAGCGGAGGAACAAGGCCGCTTCCAGTTTCTCCAGCATCAAGGATTCGTCTCCAACCACAGCCCAGATCAGAAGCTCATTGATTTCCTCAATCTCCCGGGCCTTGAGCATCGCTTCCAATCCTTCGATTTCCGCTCGCACCAGCACCTGTGGATCCGTGCTCGACTCATGCAACACCCGGTTGAGCTCTTCCTCCGTGCCACCCGAGGTGATGATCTCTTCGACCTTGCGAAGGTCTTGCTGAATTGTCAAATAGGAATTGTTGGATCGCGCCCAGAGTCGTTCCTCGACCATCCTTTTCCGTCGCTGCGAGTCCTCGTCTGCGCCCTGGAAGATACCCGTGCGCTTCAGCTCCTCCACAATGAAGGCTTTGATGTCAGCCTTGTTATGTTTTGTAATATCGATAGTCTTCGTCGGAGAAGTGAAGAGCTGGACCCCCTGGAATGTTCCTGGCTCGCCGCTGACAAGCACTCTAACGCGGCTGGGCGTGCCCTGGTCGCGTTGTTGAATCGCCCTCATAAGTCGCTCACGGTCTGCCGGGCTGAGCGTGTTGACCGAGTGGAGCAGGATGTAATGGGTCGTATTTTTGCTCGGCATTCCAATTCCCAAGGTGAGCCAGAGGTCCGTACAGCTGGCATCTCGGAAGTACTTTTCATTCTTGCCAGCCTCGCCGCACACACTAGAAACACGCCTCGCGTAGACGATGTCCTGGTCCGCCAGCTGGACACAGATAGACTTGATCGCTGCCTCTGGTTGTCGTCTGTCGCCCTCTTTGTCTCTTTTCTCTATCCTGGAGAAGGAATAATATCCAATCAAGCTGCGCTCTGCTTTTGTGGCCAAGTTTTCAGATTTGATTTCCTGGGCAATCGCAGAGACAAGAAAGGATTTGCCCGTTCCATTTTCACCAGTCAGCAAGAGTAAGAAATCTGTTGCACTGCTTCGATTGATCCACTGCTTATATGCGTCGATTTCGTTCAACCATTTTCCGCTGTCCTTCACAGCGCCCTCCCACAGCGTATCTCGGGCCTCGAGAACGGCGGCTATTCTGTCGTCCTTCTGCCCAAGGGTGTTCTTGATGGTACTCAGAATTTGTTTCCGGTTGTCATCCAAGGCGCGCTTGTTCTCGGCCTCTACGAGCCCAGATACGTCGCTCTTGATGGCCTTGGTGTTTGCGTCGATGTCGAGTGTGGTGGCCTTCATAAACTTGACGTGCTGGCCGGTTTCCACCGCCACCTCGAGGGTCAGAGTCGCTTGGATGTTCAGCTGGTCCTGGGTGAGCTTCTTGAAATTTGCCAACTCGCTCCGGACCGACCCATCATCCAAGAGGATACGTTTGGCGTTGCGCTTGAAGCCCTTCCATCGGCCCTCGTGATGGATATTAATGCAGTCGGCACACAGGTTCACAAAACTCGTCATAACCTGGTAGATGGACAGTCGCAGAGCCTCGTCGATTTGCGAGCTTTCCTCCATGCGCTCGTAGATGCGAAACTGTGCCAGAGCCGGTCCGACCTCGGCAAAGATGGCGTCGATCTCGCCGTGGAACTCATGAACCTTTTTGGGAATATCCAACAGGAAGGAGAGAGCGTTGAAACAGAGTCCTGCCGGGGCGAAAACCTTGAAGACCAAATCAGCGTCCCTACCTGGAATTCAGAATTGGATGCAATGCAATATTATACCCCTTACCATAGACGCACCCTGGGACGCAATACCCCCCAGGAGCTGGATACAGTGTATCATTTGGAACCCCACCGCTTTAGCCTGCGAAACACTCTTATCGTCCGCCTGTGCAGCATAATGCGCGTCGAGGAGCCTTCGCAGATCCTCCGGGCCCCTGGAGACACCATCGAGCTTTTGGCCCGTGCGCTCGTGGAAGCGAACGATGGTCTTCTCCCAGATCTCCTTGACGGACGCGGGGGAACTTTCCGATGCCATTGTATACTTTGAAACATAGAAGTCCAGGGTTGTCTTTGCTGAGGACGCTCCCTGCACCGCGGCTGATAATCACGTCGGGCCCGGTCTGTCCTTTATGCGCAACGGGGGCTGAGTGACTCGATCATTTCAGCCGCCTGGGCAAAGACGCTAACACATCTACCCCGCCCACACGAAGCTCACGATGCCGCTACTATTATCCCTACTATCTAGAGATGGTTGTCTGGACACCTTTTTGGCTGAGTGGGAGATGTATGACAGTGGCTTGAAGGTGGTATGCACTGATGGCTGCCTGACTTCCGCCGCGTCGGTTAGGCCACGTATTGACCATCAAACCATGTCTAGACTTCCATTTCCAGTATAGTAGAATTGATAGTGTACGGCGGACTATTTGTACAAAAGGAACTTTTGGTTGTTTTACAATGATTACATCTCACCACACCCCCTCTTAGTACAATCACACACACTGCACTATCCCTAGTATAGTAAAATCAAAACTTCTTATAGAGGTAAGTAGATATTTAACTATATAATATTTAATATTAATACTATGGCAATTAATATTAATATTAGATGATATTCGATATCGATACTATGGCATTCGAATCAATACTAGATGATATTTGATATTTATACTATGGCATTTGATATCAATACTATGATATTCAATATCAATACTATGGCATTCAATATTGATACTAAATAATATTTAATATTAATACTAGATGGCATTTAATATCAATATAGAATATATCCTAATTATAGTTATTTTAATTTATAATAGAAAGATTAATTTAATATATAGAGGGTTAAGTAGATGATAGTTAAGAATTATTCTTAAGGAATATATATATTATTACTACTACTTACTAGAGATGATTATTCTCCTCTAACTTAACCAGAAAATATTAAATTACTATAATACTAATCTTATGTTCATATCTAGTATTAATATTAAATGCCATCTAGTATTAATATTGAATGCCATCTAGTATTAATATTAAATATTATCTAGTGCAGCCATAGCAATATTTAAGATTTATGGAGGTAGTGATATTAGGTAATACATGTGGTGAACAGTAAAAAAATCCAAAAGTTCCTTTTGTACAAATAGTCCGCCGTATAGTGCATATTCTGGTTAACACTACGTTATTCCGATGGCCGATTCCATTCCTTTTCTGAAAAGCAATGACTATCCTTCGTGGCCAATGCTGAGGACGGAATGTGATAGTGATGACTTTGAATGTTTAGCAGTCTCTTCAGGATTCAAGCACCAAACTTGCTACGCCAACTCTTCCTGAGATGGCAGGATTGAATCATTAAATAACTGCTCTAGAAAGTCAAGATCAATCGAAGTATGACCTTTAACAGAGCTATAGTGATGTTTTTGGAGGAAGTCTGATGTTCCATTTACACACCCAATATATGGATGGTATTCATCATTCACATCCTATTGAATCAGTTAGAAAGCGGTTCAACCAGTTATCAAGTAGTTATTCATCTTACAGGATAAAAATGCCTCTTAAACTGTGGCGCACAGGTTATTCAGCAATGCTGCAGCAGGTAGTTGTAATATTATTGGACATTGGGAGGTAGGCAAGTTGTTCCACTGTAGTCATGCAGGCAGGTGGGATTTAGTTGGTTTAATACAGCTGTCATCACAGCCAGTAGCCATGTGCAACAAGCCACAGATAGTAAAGGGAATACGTCATCACAAAGCCAGAAGTCCTTGTCTGGTTTTGCAAGCTTGTCGGTCTGGATGCCTCCAGATTACGATTTATGTGGGAGTCGATCAAGCCCGAGGTGGCCTTCGCTACAGACGAGCTGAGAATCAAAGAGCGCATGTGCTCGACCCCGCTCACCTCTTAGGGTATTTTGAGCCGGAAGACGTCCCATGGTTTGGATATCGACCGCGAAACTCCCCGGTGGAAAGACGAGTTCGGTGAGGGTGATGCATCCAAGTCGGAGCACCGGGTGCGAGCACCTCTGAAGGATCATGAATATTTGAAAGCAAGGCAGCTGCAAATGATTTAGTCGAATAGTGAGCTTGTGCATGTATGGAATACATACATAAATTTTAAGCAACACAGCTGCTTCAACCCAAGGGACTCAGCGCTTTTTAGTAGGACCAGGACAGCCCTCCGGTTGGAATTTAGCATAGTCGCCTATTCTTAATGCCTCGACAGCTGGATGAACAGCCAAGGAGCACCCGGTGTCTACAGAGAATATGGCCCAGTCCACTCGAAAAGTATGATATTCAGTCTGCCATAGTCGCGGGTGAGGTCCCAGCGACTGTGTATGCAGAAATCGAATGTGGATCTTCAAATCAAATCTGGCTGTCATCTGTACGAAGGAAGCCACAGTAGACCCCCGCAGGCGAACCCTGTAAGACGTTGAGTCTATGCCCGCCCGCATCGAGGTAATCATATACTGTCTCTAGAAGGAGGCGTTGTTGCGGATCCAAGGCCGCTGCTTCTCCTGGGGAGATGTTGGCTCGTGGCTGGTATACCATTGAGCAAGTTGAGCAAGTTATTGTCGCGCCGTGCTCTTTTGTTTACTGTTTGGAAGGTAAAATTCATCCACGTAGAATCAGCCAGTGATGTTACTGGGATGGTGGAGCATGACTGAAAAGAATACCAGTCTAGGGGAGATAGATTCAGATATACATGAAAGCTGTATCATTGTACATGTACGTTGCTTGACTTTGGACAGTTTAGTCTCCGAATACGCCCAGCATATTCTACTCATTATTAAGTTTGGCACCAACTCATCGACGCGGGCTCCCGCATCAATCAAGAGCTGACCTAGTCGGTCTCTTTCTTCTGCGCGCCGCTGCAACCAAATACAAAGGGGATCTGCCATCCACATTTCGTGTGGCCGGGTTGGCTCTGAAGTTCAGCAAGAGGCTGACGGCGCTGGTATGTCCGTTCTTGATGGCTAGGCCAACGCGGTTTCACCATTGCCCGCTGTGTTGTTGATGTTTGTTCATTCAGTCATGTACTCCTGTTCAGAAGCTCTTATTATCTTTCTTATTGGGATTGGGAGAGAAAATGTATTTCTCCTGCAGTCTGTTCAATGGAAAAGAGACACGGCCTGGTATAATAACAATATAGACAACATCAGTGAAGTGTAACCGCAGTAAAGCCGCAAATGCCGGCATCGAAGGAGGTCGATATTTGGTACGATGAAGACCAGTTTGTGAGTTTCCTGCAGATGATCAGGTTCCCAGAGCCAGCGTCAGCTATAGATGATCGTTACCGCTATACCTTTCTCATCTACTACTATGATGATGATGATGAAAGTGGCGATAAAAGAACAGAGTGAAAATGGTAAAGTCGCATATGAGTTGTGTACAAGGAGGGTCAGACGATGACATGCTGTCCAAACTCTCATGGACCAAAGTAAACGGTTGAAAGGCAGAGAATGAAGGGGCAATGACACATTCGCGGGAGAAGATGGATGCTGTGTGTCGGCTTCCTAGACTACGAGGCCTGGATAAATGTATGTCACTATACTCGGAGTATAAGGATAAGCAGTCAAAAACAAAAAGTCTTCAGCACGGCTTTTTCCGGATGTATCCCTTGGTGTAGATAACCGAAGTCATTTGCCATCACAGAAATACATTACATACTACCTATTCGTAGTCCGGCCTTATGCCATGCACGAGAGCAGGGAGTTTCAGAGGTCCCGGTCAACTAATCGAACCCCGTAGCAGGAATAACCCTCGAGATGCGAGACTCGACGGTAATCACACGAGTGTCCGGATCCACTAGCATTCGTCCATTGCCCACCAGGGTCATATTATCCAGTTCCTTCAAGGATGGGTCACCGCTGAAGAAAGAGTGTGCTCCCGCTGCCACATTACTCAGTACAAAGAGACTCAATCCCAATTTGCAGAAGGAAAACTCACTGCTGAAGCCGAATGGGACACTCTCCGAATCAGGCGTCTGGTTGAAGATCTTCATCACCGCCTCGTTGAGCTCAATGATTCCGGTGTATCCAAAACTAATCTCCTTGCCGTCATCAGTTCTGGCAACATTGTCAGTTTCCATTATTGACTGGAGCACCAAACACATACGTAGCAATGGCCTTCATGTTGATACGGGCATGTTTCTGGTCTGGATCGAACTCGAGCCAGTCGGCGCCGAATACGACCTTGCCTTTGAATTGGGGCTCAAATCCCTCCACAGTTTCAATGGTGCCGGTGGGAGTTTCCTTAATCTCTGTTAGTCACCCTTGCAAGACAACATACTCCACCCAGGGTCCAGGGACTCTTACGAAATGTATCAGGGTCGAGCCACTCTGACGGGGTCCTGAGCGCAGAACGATCAGCGGTCAGTGTAGGCATTCCTTCATTCGGGGGATTCTGCAACGTACCAACTGGGTGAGCGGCACCCGCATTGACCTTCCAGACAATGGCGGGTTGAAGGCTGGGAAAGTTGACAATTGGAGGACTCATCCTGGTCAGATATCTTTGCTACGCGATCTACTGACTTGTATCATCGCTTGACCTTGTATCCGACGGCTGGAGGTTGTCCTTTATAATACGTCGCCCGGGTATGTTCCTACGAGCCGCTTCTGTGTATATCAAAGAGCAAGCCAGATGATCACTGTCGGGGAGACCGTGTCATGTTCGGCCCGAGCATGGACAACACTGTTCTTGTCGGCGTGAGGGCCGAGAACTGATGTCAATGGTACGTGATCATCTGATTTGCACAGGGAAATCCTCGCCCGCGTCCAAAAGAACCAGCTTTCTTCAAGTTGTTTTAACCTTTTGACTTTGACGCCACCGGAACAGTGTTGATTGCGGCAGCTAACGGCCCGTAACCTCGGCGAATCCACCAGAAGGTCAAGATATGCACCATTCTGGGTATCTGCAGTATGGTTAGAATCGATAAAAGCGAATGGCACTATTCCTGCCGTCCAACGTCCCAGTAGATGCTCTCTTCACGGCAGCCATCGGAATGTCGGCGCGTGATGATGTCGCTTTATGGAATCTTCTAGGAGAAGCGAAACGATTCCGTCGGCTCTAGAATAATGGCGTAGGTTTCTGCGACTAGCTTCTGAAGGATCTGAATCCTCAGGGGTCAGTTGATATGGTGTCATGCACCCCTATTATTAGGCTATAATTATATGCCGAGTCCTGTCGGCAGCAGACTAGATCCGTGCTCGCCTCGCTGCCACACAATTGCTACTCCCTCGATCTTCAACGACCAGACTCAGAGGCTTTATCAGGATCTGGATGGCGTATCCCTCTGGTCCAGCAAGAAAACCTTTGATATCCTATAGGCATGATTTGCTTTTGGACACAAAGGAGTGAGATTGCCAAGCGAAACGTGTTCTCGTGGTTATGTCATATTAGTGCTTAGTGCTTACTCCCATTAATCTAGACCACCTCCCAGATGCAAAATACTTGGAAATAAGCAAGATCAATGCATGAGGAAAAAAGCAAAAGTGCATAGCCGCAGCACCAGTGCTTTCCATCCACCCGGACATTTCCTAAAGTCCTGCCAAATCTGATGGTATAGTGTGGGCGGATTGGGACTCTTACGGCACGAAGTATAGGCGGACATAATCACATATTCCTGCCTCCAGTTTGTATCTCTCCCTTATTGGCCTGCTCCGGTGACTAACTGCCAGAGGGTCTCGCCCCCTGCCGCTTACCTCGAACAGGGAGACTTGGTCAGATGCCCTTTCTACCTTCACACGGTTCCTCTCCCCACAACGACGACGGGACACCATCCTTCCGCCAACACAGGGATAAGAATCCTTCAGCAGCGCGTCAATTGGAACTTGGGGGAAGTTGGAGCCGTTCCCACGCAATCGGCCAATCGCCATGTTATGATACTGAGGCTTCCAATGGCTTCTGTGTGCATCTATGCAGATGTAGGATCAAAATCCAAAATTGATGCATATATACTTATCGGTCTTATCTTTCCGCTGTAGCTATATCGCAAAGGTCTAGGCCAGGGGCATCTGGTGTGACGACTGCACTTGGATGGAAGACCTCTGTACCGAATATTGCGCTGTGACATGATTTTCGGCAGTGGAAAATGAATCGAAATATTCTCTACTGCTGGCTGAGGAAAGCCAGAAATGACTCCACAGTGACCCCTGTAGGCGTTGTGCATAAGACCTAAGATAAGAAGCTCGGCTCGCGTGTTGAGGCTGCAAGTTAACTGTAATGAATATGTCGAGGAAATGCTGGGGAGCAACTTCAACCAACGGCCGGGAATGTCTTTTTGCGTTGATTGGACCATTTATTGTGCATAACTGCAGATCGCTTCCACGCATAATCTACGTCATGTCAGCAGGCTAGAAATGCTCTCCGGGTCTTGTTGATTGCACAGCCCGATGATAAATGACCATGTTATTCCAGGAACAGGGAAACGCCCTGTCTGTAGATAATTCTCACTCCGTTTCCATGAGCCCCATCCCATCAGAACGGACCCTTTGTCTTGCCAGCACCATGACGGCTCCGTCCCGACACATGGCATGTCGAACTTGCCGGGAACGCAAAGTCCGCTGTGATGGTGGACAGCCATCGTGCGAGACATGTAAGCGGCATGGGGAGAAGTGTGTTTATGTGCAGTCTGCTCGGCAAACGAAGAACGATCTTCTCGCCAAAATCGATAACTTGCAAGAGCGTCTAGGTGGGTAGATGTGGTTGTCTGGAGCGAGGTTTATATGATCATTTGTTTCTCTGGTAGTTATATTGCAAAAATTACCGCCTGCTAACTGTGAAACGCAAACTAGCCCGAGCGGAGGCAAAGCTGAACTGTTCATCGTCTGTATCTTGTCCTGCCTCCCACCGGTATAGGGTACCCTTTGTTCCCACGCCTTCCTTGTCTTCGATTGAGACTTCCCCGCCGCCTTCCTCGCACATGGACAAGCCCCGGCTGGCTCTATCAACACCAGAGACACCCCTGGGGGACGGCTCAGGGGTCGATGCAACGATTCCTAGTCCCGAAGAATTGGCGGGTTTGCTGAGTCCCTTCACCAGTGTGCTAGGGCCGGGTACGGCGGAGGAGACACCACTCTCGTTGCCCTGGTCCCTGGCTTTCCCCCCACTACTGGACGAGCAAGCCGTGCCTGATCCCGGAAGGGTGTCCACCGATTCGGCACCACTGGAGGCCCGTCCGCCCAGTCCATGTCTGCCCCCACTTCGCGCTATTCGGGCCTTGAATGGACAGCAGCTACAGCAGCAGCATCAGCCGGGGCCACCGCAGCCCCTGGACGACGGATGCGCAATCCTCCGCGAACTTACTCGATATGTGTCGGCGACCTTCACCAACCAGGTCTACATTGCTGGGATGACCACCGCCGTGGCCGAGTATCTGGCTTGGGCCCGGCGGACCCCGGACATCAACTACTCTCAGATTCTGGAGATCCTCGAAGCCCGACTGCGCGAGACCGCCAATCTCGCTAATACAAAACACTGGGCGGAGTTTCAAAACCTCCAGGCCTCCTTGGGAATTCTCGATGCGTATAAATGGAAGTTGGGGTTGCTAGAGCATGAGTTGCAGGCGGCAGAAGCTGACATCTCTACGTTTTTCAGTACACATTATGATATTCGTTCGGCGCTGGACCTTCAACGGCGTTCATAAACTGGTTCCCTGGTTTTTGTACCATGCAAAGAGTTTTCTTCATCTTTGGTCTTTCTATTCAGTCATCTTTCACTTGTTATTCTCCGTTTAGCGTTCCAGGACCATATTGTTGCGACAGACTGTAGACCACAGAATGGTCCAACGTTTTACTGTCATGTCCAACACTGTCCTATCCAGTAGTCGATAATACCGTATTAATGTCACTGCATTTAACTGTCAGCCAAGTTGACCGACTCGGGCCGAATCGACCGAATTGTTTGGCCGCTCATGCACAATGTAGGCATTCCAGCTCGGCATAATTGGTCTCTCTTTGTCTCCTCCAGACCGAGTCGTCTCTATTGGCACTGTATCAACGATCGAACAGATATATCAAGACGTAGGCTGCCCAAGAAACATGCGCTTGTCGTCCACCGGCCTAAACCACTATTACACCCAGCCTACCATGATTCCAAACAAGGTGCAGAAGGTTGACGTCGCTATTATTGGCGCAGGTATGGTCCTCCCTAATGACGTGCCATATGTGAAGCCATGAAGCTAAAATACAAGGCAGGATGGTATGGTTTGGTGGCCGCTAGAACATACCTTCGCCTGCGACCTGCGGCCAACCTCATTATTATTGACAGTGACAGCACGGTGGGTGGGGTTTGGAGTCGTGACCGAGTGTATCCTAACCTTGTCGCCCAGGTTAGGCTCGGGGTGAGTGACTCCGTTGTCTGGTGCCTTGTACAACGCCACAACTGATCGCCTTTGATAGCTGTTTAATTATACCGATACTGCCATGCCCCCCAACGGTGGCAATCCGAAAGATGAGCGAGTCACCGGAGACATGATCCATAACTATCTCCAGCAATACGCGGAGGACCATGATCTGCTGCGCCGGATTCGCTTCAACACCTTCGTTACCAACGCGTCCCGGGGAGATGATGGATGGCGTCTGACATTCAAAGACTCCACTGACGTGATCATAGCGGAGAAGCTACTCGTCTGCACGGGGGTAACCTCCATCCCTTATATTCCTGAGTACCCTGGCGCCGAGACCGCCACAGTTCCCATCATTCACTCACGGGACCTGGGAATTTCGTACCCCATGCTCCAGGACCCGTCCGTAGAGCACGTCGCTGTGGTTGGCGCGGCGAAATCCGCCTATGATGCCGTCTACTTACTTCTGTCAATGGGCAAGAGGGTCACCTGGATCATCAGGCGCGATGGTGCTGGTCCGCTGGCAATCCTGCCATTCAGGATTCTGGGGCTGATAAACTCAATCGCTGTCGCTTCTACCCGCCTCATGACGTACTTGACACCGTCCATCCTAAACACCAAGGGACCGTTATACTGGGCGTTTCAGCGGAACCCAGTGGGGCGTTGGTGCGTCGGCAGATTCTGGGATACACTCACCTACCTGAGTCACGCCCATGCGGGATATTCCAAAGGCGATCACGTCGAGATGCTGAGGCCGGAAATTGACCGACAAAGGTGACCTTTCCTACGCCATAGACCATAATCGTAGGCTAACAAACTACTAATCCAGTGTCTTCTGGGCCAATTCCGGCTTGGGAGTCGTCACCCTTCCCGATTTCTGGCCAACACTGCATAGTCCCAATCTTACCGTGCTCCGGGATGCTATTGACACCATTAAGGGGGATAATCTCTCCCTGCAGTCCGGGCAGATGCTACAGACGGACTGTCTGGTTCTCTGCACTGGCTGGGGAGATCACTTTGGCATGTTCGATGAGAAGACCAAGGCAGAACTGGGACTTCCTCTATTAATCCCCCACGGGCCGTCCTCCAACGACGGTGTCAACTGGACGAAATACGACGCTGAGGCCGAGAGAGCTGTGGATCAGCAACTGCC